TAAGAGATTCATAAACATACGTGTGTTTTTCACTTTCCATTCTTTGCTGAAGGTAGTTTGTTTTTCAACAAATTTTCCATAAAAAAAGGATCATGATATTTGTAAAACAACGAACGTGAACCCCTTAGATGGATCTTCGTTGTACTTAAACTGTTATAGCGTGCGCAATTACTTTCAAAGTCTCCGCTCTTGGTATGTATATAGTTGAGTCTAAACCCGTCAAACGGACGCGGATTAACAAACAGCAGGCGATCTCAAGTTACACTTGCATCTGAATGGGATTGAAAACCGAGGTGGTAGAACATACAGATATGCTGTTAATCTTTTCAAGTCTTTTTTCTTGTTATTGCAACGGAAGCTGCGGTCAGTTTACTGAGTTGTTTGAAAAAAAAATTGATAAAAAATTCAGGTCTCCTTCGTAAATGGCAGTTTGTATGTTCAATTAATGACAGTACTGCAAGTTAAAAGTTGTTAAAAATAGTTATGCAAAGGTTTCAAGATTGTGAGGAAGATCTAATTCTGAATCAGATTTTGATATTCTGTGGATGCCGTGAAATATGATCATATCTTGATTACTTGCGTTCTACAAGAGAACCAAACTGAATATTTTCAAATTGCAATGAACAGAAGTTCAATAAAACACTCTTTTGTTTTTCACACATGTTCAATTTCCTTAAACTCCCATGTTATTTAAAGGTTTGGCCTGGAAGTTTATTACTTTAACCCTAATTACTGTAACCTCACACGTATTTTAAAACTGTAAAAAAAAAGCTATTTTTATGCTTTACATAGGCTATTTAGATCGGCCCAATATCAAAACAAAGATGTTTTTTGTACATTTGAGCTCCGGGCATACTAAGATCATTTTTGATTAAAAAAATTAACATATTTTCAAAATAAATGCACTGTAATTAAGTAAGTAAACTCGCTCTGTTTATAAATAGAGTGTTTCTTAATCTGATCCCCATTCTTTACAAAGGAGTAATTATTTCGGGATAGACTAGCATTGGGTGAATTTCGGGTGTGCGTCATGGCTTCACATGATATGCTGTTGTTGGTTTATGAATACCAATCAGAAACCACAAGAGCGCACAGAACAAAAACTCTTATCGATAATTTAGTAATTGAGTTTTGGTTATCGAATATCACCGAACATTCGGTCTTATATGGTCCATACAGAGTTGATTATATTAGGCAGTGAAACGAATAAACTTCGTAGGAGTTGGATTTTTCATGGAAAGAAAAGTCGGCAAATTGTGTTACGAGATGTAAATTATACAGCAAAGAATGTTTGAAAGCTGTTTTAGCTAATAAGTGTATTTTAAGATTTTATTCAAATTCATTTGGCGGAAAAGTGACTTCCACTTTGATCCCAATCATAAAGTTCCTCGGAGGAATTAGTTTGACACTTGATGTTAAAGGAAGCAAAACAACCCCATGAACAGTGCACAAAAACATGTCTGTAAGGCGAGATAAAAAGGCCTCTGCTTCCGAAATTAGGATGATCCTGAAGAAGGTGTTACGATAAACCATCTACTTGACTTTGATTTCCTCCTCATCTACTGTTACAGATATTTCAGAGTTTGACCATTTGGCCATTTAACCTTCACGGAAAAAGGGCAAAAAACACTTATACAGCTTTTTCGAAAAAGACTGGGACTTCTTTATCTAAAATTAACGATGTTAGTCTTGTTTTAAAGTCGATTCAGATATCACGACTTCTGAGATAGGTTGATAACTTCAAGTGCTCCCTCAGGTGAAACATTTCAGGAAAATACCATTTCTTATGGGGTTTTTTCCTCATCAGCAAAATAATATACTGTAAGGTATTGACGTAAATGGCTGTAAAGGATGTTATAATGACAAAAAGTGGACGCCTTTATCTTAATTCTAACGTAAACAAACATGTGACCCTTTTAAAAACGGCGCGCATTCTAAACAAAGTCAGTTACCACCTAGAGAAAACGGCGGAGCATCTAACGAGAGCCCCCCATCAATCTAATGTAAGTAAACTCCTACTGTCTTCTTAAATGTTCTCCTTCCTTAAATCAGATTTCTGCGGAGTGCAAGACAGATTGAAGCAAAATTGCTTAAATTGCAAAACGCGGCGGTAGAAACTGATCAAATAGTTCAATTGAAGGAGAAAATTTAAATAATGAATTTTTGTCTGAAGTACAATCCCACTTCTATTGCGATAATTCTTAGAGAGGACAATTTTCTGTCAAAAAGAGAGAAAGAAAAAGTTTCTAAGACTGATCGTTCGGCAGGGAAATGATCAAAACTCTTGGCGTTATACAATGACATCAACATTTGATATCCCACTCAATTAGGTATATTTGTTAAGCGCTCTTATATCGTAGCTTTCGATTACAGGTACGATCATTTGATTGCGAAAAGGATTTCAAAACATTTACAGCCGCATTTCTCTTCGTCTGATGTAATAGATGGCTGTACTTAAAGTTTATTCGTTCGAATCTTATCGACGCCCCAATTTTTCTTTAGCTTGCCGCTGACAATTAAGCATCGTTAAAAAAAGCAGTGTTAATAAGTTTATGAGGAAACTGTACACACGCCGAAAATTCATTACGCGTTTCTTGGTAAAATGACACCGTAAAAACACCCTTGTTCATCTAGGTTTATTTGCACACTAAATGTAGCGACATCCTCTAATCTTTTTTTTTGTATTTATTTATTCACGGAAGAACGCCAATGACTAGCGCCAAACAACAGGAAGAAACAACTCTTTTTTTCAATTTTTCACTCACCTTAAGCCTTACGGCTATACAAATTAACCTGCCGTGGTTGCTAAAAAATTTAATTTCCTGTTGGTCTGAACAAAGATTGCTCAATATTTCCTTCATTACTTCATTACATTTCATAAAGTGAAATACAACTCCAGGAGAGGATGTGCATTGTGAGAGGCTGTGCAGTGTGAGACCCGCTCCGTACTTTTGATTCACAGTTGTAAGCTCGTTGACAAGGTTGTGTCGCGCGGTAAAGATAAAAATTTTGCTAGAGAGAAGGATTTAATGCTTACATATGAAAACGAAGGAAATTTTGTTTGTGCGGTGTGAATTAACATACATCTTAGCTAACAGCTGTACAAATTCATTTAACTATCGAAAAAGAGCTTATTGTTCCAAAGTTTGCATTAGAAAGTGGAAATATTTCGCCGTAAATCAATTACTTTAATTAAAATCGTCAGGCGCCGGCCACTATAGGCGTTACAAAACCAACCACAGTGCAGTACGTTCATATCTTATCGAAATCACTGCGAGGCGTTATGTGGCCTTATCAGTCTCCAAGTTAGCGATAGCACTGTTCCGGGCGTATGTACTGCAAAGGTAATCCCAAGCCATTAGCTACCAAATGATCAGTATGTGTTAATCTTTATTTCAGTCAGTAAGAGTGGGGCTGTCTGGAAACTTTCGATTTATCAAAACATAAATCTTGATGCGTGTAAGGTATGAATTGACACAGGACATTTTCTTTCGCCGTAAACATAATTCGGAATTTTTGTTAGAATTCAGTTGCTAATAATGTAAAAATTTTCAAGATGCCAAGTGAGAGGCTGGGAAGAATGATATATTTCCGTTTGCTAATGGCTTTTTCATTACAATTCATAAGCATCAATGTTTAGAGTTTCTGTGGAAAAATTACATTCTGCGTTAAAATACAACGTCGAATTTCCTTTCGGTCAAATATTAGAGATGATTGCCTTCAAGCTTAAAATCGCTCCAACTCCTCATCCAATGAGCTTCCAATGAAATTTGAGAGTTCTCTTTGGCCGTACCGTTCCTTTTAGTCGCAAAAAAACCGACAGAAAGATGATCTTTCTATTTAGACTAAGTTTATTTACGTGAATTCACTACGTACAATATGCTTAATTTACAATCAAGTTTTGAAGAAAGTCACCCCTGAAGGTGTAGCCTGTTCTATCGCTTCCTCTTGTTTAGCTCTTGCTGCTGAGGCTAACTATCATTGGTAAGCTTAGTTAGTTTTCTCTTGGGAATTTAATTTTGCAAAGCATCTCTACCAATCTTTACCACTACCACAAATACGTACAGTCTTAATTCATAACCAAACGAACCGCAAAGCCTTTTACTGCCTCATCTTCAGAGAGTTAAAGAAGACTTGCACGCTATAATTTCCATCTTTCGTTCTCTTTAGAGGAACGAAATACGAAAATTTTACTTTTGTTCTTTTCCATCACTAACCTTAATTTTTTCAAGAATACTTTGCCTTTGATTTCAGCTTTTAATCTCGGTTCTTCTTTTATCTCCGAATCTTTGATTTAATCCTTTTTTCGGAATACGATTCTCTGTTCAAGTAGGCAGGTACCTCAAAAAGGAAACACGAAATTTAAGTGTTCATATAGTTCAGACAATTACTAATGGGTCACACGAACCGGGTCTCATGTCGTTACTGAAAGAAGAAATCAAGACACTTGACAGAGTATCCATCTACGCTAACGCATGTAAAGGTTTCTGAGGCCTTTCAGAGGTTCTCTACCATCAGACACACTTGAGTTCGCGTCTGAAATGTTTCCGGAAATTTACGCAGACTTCGCAAAGTTATGGCGAGCTTTCACATATTACTCTGTCACTTTGTAGGATGTTCCGGAAATTTTTCGCAGATTTTCGGTGTTTTCTTAGCGACATGTCCATCACTAATGTACCCTCTTGAAATTAAGGTCACATATTTTCCAAAGCATTTGACAGTTAATAGGAAGGCTTACGCTTCACTCATTGAGATTCACTCGCATAATTGCTGATACTTTCTCTTTTTTAAACGTTCGCGACACAAATTTTGAATCTTTCCTTGTAAGTTTGAGTCTGCAAGAGAAACTCTAACTTTTTCTTTCTCTCTCGGGCGAACCCAAACCAAAAGTATCTTTCTTCATGCGATGACCGAACCCAAAATCTGCCATCTTCCTTATTTCTTGTTCTTCTGTTTACAATCGAATCATCTTTCTTTCAGTAACGAACAACCTAGACAGGATGTGGAAGATTATAGTTCTACTGGTGCTTTTAGTAACTATTACCGCGGCGAAGCTTCTTGATGATGGAAAACCGGTTAGTATCTTGAAAATGGCTATCGCATGTCATCATCAATGCATGCAAGACCGAAGCCTGCTTCCCAAACTCGTGATGAGGATTATGCACGTGCGATAGGCATAGAGCAAGTCTGTGAAGGAGGTCAGCGGCAATCTCGTTCCCAGAATCCTCGTTTAGATTCGTAATTGCTTAGGTCTGCTCATGCGCCAAAGTTGCGTTCTATCCATCATCTTTCAAGCTATAAAACTTAGGCTAAAGACGAGCCAAGAGATTCGTCAGACAAAAAAAATATATATGAAAGAAATATATAGTGATTGCTATCAGGTTGGTCTGCCAATTAAGCAGTTTATTTACGCTCAAGAGACATGATGAATTGATGTCCGATATTACTATTTTTCAGTGCTTGGGTAAATCTTGTTGGTTGGACAGCGAATGCCCGCAGTGTTCTGAAACTAAACAGGTCATTTGCCATTATGGAACTAACACGTGTAGGGAGATAGAGTTTTGGGATAAAATCATCAGAAGAAAACCGGTGAGTTGACCCTTACTCGTAAAATCCACCGTTAAGTAGAACAAAGAAGAGAACCGTTTAGGCCTTGGTAAGGTTAATTTAGATGACTTTAAAACTGAGGCTTCTGTTGAACGGTGCCATGTAGATACATCACTGTTCAAAGTTTTAACTTGTTTTTATTCGGGGGCACAGTGGAAGACCTTGAGATATGTCAATAACGCTAAAGAATTTTAGAGATAATCTCTCGAAAGGAAGTGTTTTCGCCGAGAAGACCGCAGGAAGGCTTCGATAAAAGCGACTTTCGCAATAGAGAAGGAAATTTACACTGCAAGCGCCTGTGAAACACTCTTCCTTGTCTAGTTAACACCAGAGAAAGAAAAAAAGAACGAAATTCTGTTCAATGGCACCTCCTGTCTGCCCCGTTATTTTATCATGTTGGCACGTGGCACCGAGTATTGACTTTACAGGCTACACTTTGAAACATCTCAAATTTAGTTGTGATAGCACTTTTTAAGTTCCATCGTTGTATTTATCACCGCGTGGGCGTTTTCGATGGGTAGGAGAGGTGGGGGGTTGCAATGGAGAGGAATGAACATGGATTTACATTAATCCAGCACTTCGCTTTTTATCCTTTAGGCTTATCATTGTTCATCTTTTTTTTCTATCAGTGCCACCGATATTTCAAGAGTGCATGTAGAGTTACAGCTGACTGCCATTGTGATGGAAAACTGATCTGCGAGGATAACGAATGTGTTGTAAACAGGACGAATGAAGACATTAGATCACGAAGACATTGACCAACGCTTTGGTATTAATCACAAGAAGTTAATTTAAAACTTTCCTAAAACTAGTAACAAATGTATCGTTATTTAACATAAAATAAGTCGATGTTAATTTCTTCGTAACTCAATAACGAGTTCTCAAATAAAAGAACACAAGTTAGATTCTGACCATATTGATGATGTAAAATTCTCGGCTGACACCCAGTCGATTCACGACTGCATACCCAACTTTAATTTTCAACCTTGATGAAGTCATTTACTGGGATCCCATCCCCAGAATTTATTTGGCTACATTATAAAATAACCTCAACTTACATTTTGAATAATATCAGTAACTCGAACACGCTAACTTCTCATTTCGTAAGGCAAGAGAATACGTAGCTTGTCGCTATTTAGGAATGCCATGATTAAATTGAAAATTATTTTCTTCTGTTCCTCTCTCCCTCTATTTTTGTTCTGTTTTTCTTTGTACTTATTTTTCGTCCTAATAGAAAAGTTGTTCTTCTCGTCATCAAGAGATCTCTGTGCTTATCACATGGTTCCGCTCCGTGAGCAAATGAATCAAAAATTTTTTTCGGGAAGGTGCGAGACACTTACCTCTGCTGTTTTCAAGACGCGGGGGCATTATGACTTTCAATTTCTTCTCGGGCGTAAATAGATTAATTCGAACAAAATATAGCCACGACTTTTATGATCCTATAATTGAGCATCTGCGGAAAGGAAATTGGTTTTCCACACGTGCGACCTCCCGCTAAGCGCTAATACTCACTTCCTCTTAAAACCTAATTTTGCTACTCAAAGGTTATTTCACGTTAAACGTAATCAGTGCGCTGATGAAAAAAAACTCAAACTTTCAAAATGTTCTCAAAATTTTACTTCCGTTTTGTCAAAATTGTTTTGATTTTACACTGCATTTTATATCACAACATTTGCCAAGTGATAAATCTTCAACGCAGAAAACAAAGTTCTGCAGGTTACTTCATCCAACATACAAACCGTTACCTTGACGTTCCAGAAATCGACCGTAAAAAAGTCAGAAATACGATCCATTGTTTGCAAGAATGTATGAAAAATGAACGATGTTTTTCAACAAATTTAGCGGACAATCCTGACAAGAATGGGCGTTTAACTTGCCAACTTTTACCTACGAACAAGTGCAGCGCCTCCTCTTCTTTCAAGCGGAGAGAATTCTTTCGCCATTTTAGCTCTGTGGTAAGACAGTTTTATTTTAAAATAACATTGAGGATCTGATCTTTATAATTACTGTTAGGTCGACTTTTTACTATTTTATTCAAAATTTAGCATCTCTTCTCTTATTTTTACTTATTATTTTCACATAATCACGATAAACACCTCTCCTAGAGAATTCTCCTACTCGGTTGGAGGCTGTGATCGCGGTTTGCCAGTACCGGCCTGTGATTAGGAAATGTCACAGTGTGAAACTTTCCTATCAAAGTAAGCGGGTATTTTGGCGGCCAACGCACTATACTGCCTCCTTACTACGAAAGATCTTTAAAAGGGTATTAATTAATATCATGATGTGCTAAACTTTTAATGACATGCAATTTTGAAAACATTGCAGTGGTGAAATAAGCTTAACTTAGCATTTTCGTTGGGAAATTCCGCATGGGATCAACCTTTATTGGGGGCAGGGGGAATCCACTATCAAGAAAATGCACAAAAAACTGATTAAAATGAAAATGATCACGATTTACAACTCAATTAGGCGTTCAGGGTAACTAGGAATTCCACTAGATTCTGGGTTTTTTTCGTATTGTGTTTGGGAAGTCTAATGTCCTTTGTCTAGTTTTGATTTTTTCTTCTCAACCAATGAAGTTTAATTTCATTTTTGGATGCTAAGGCCTTTACATTTATCTATGAAGACCAACTTCTTCAGTGTTTCGTGCAACTCATTTAAATCCATATTGTTTTTATTTTTATTTTAACTTCCTACTATTCCTGACCTAGTCGTGTATTAAATAGGAATACCTAAAATTATTAGTGTTGCTGTTATCTGATTAACATTGCAACCAAATTTAAATATTTCAATCGATGGCAAACTGTGACGCATAAAGAGAGCTGCGGAGGAGGAGGAGGAGGAGGAGGAGGAGGAGGAGGAGGGGAGGCAGTAACGGGGATAACAATTCATTCCCCATCCGGAAGACATGTTGACTGGGTGAAAATACACGGAAATAAACGAGCCTAAAAACGAGAGTTTCTAGTTATTTAGATCACAAACAAAATGCATGACATCATAAATACTGACCCATTCCTTTCCACCATGGTACCCATCAGAGTAAACAGGAAGGAACAAAGTATGATCATAGCAGGTGTCACGAATTTTACGAAAACAAGAAAAGTAAGAGTAAACATCTTTCCGACGGCGTCCAAAAAAACTGTGATTCAATGATTGTACAAATGAACGTTTTAGATTTACAGCTGCATTCGCTTTGAGTTCGCATTGTTATGGTTTAATGTTACTGATGAAATCCTCTAATCATAGACTACCAGGTGACCAAAGATTATTTGTAACGTAATACGAATTGTCAAATTTACAGGCGACGAATATCCATGATTACTTTATACAACAAAAGCAATTTTCCGTTCCGTCTCCTAAGATCAGTAGGATTCTCCAATTGAGATTAACACTGCACGGAAAAGACAATCGATAACAAGGTACAGATAAACCCATCATGGATAAGATGTATTTCACACTGGGACAAAGTTTAGTTTTCTAATTTACTCTCCAGTATTTGCTGTGACTGATGTAATCATCATCAGTATCAAACCCGAACAAGGTTACTCAACATAACTGTCGGCTGACATTTATTAGGAGGTCACCTTGACAGCACAAGTTAATCGTTTTTTAAATTACCTTCAGGCTATCCCAGAAGCATTTACAAACACAGAACCATTTAAGACAAAATGACGAAAAGTGTCCAGTTTACCGAAGCAGTGGCGCTCTGCTGTTTGCTTTAAGTGTTTATACCTCATCAATAACCCCTCCTTATCTGAGCCCCCTCAAAACGTAACAGGGTCATGAATTTCTAAAAAACAATTGTGGCCACTTTTAAAAACTATGGGATTCGCTCCATATTTTCTTCCTTAATCTGGAGACCTTTTCTTGATCCCCCAAAAATTAATTGTTTTACTCTTCGTTAGCTGAGCCTTGTAGCCTAACTGATGGCTGGATGCACTTTTCTGGTTCCTGTTACAAGGTTTTTCCATCAAAGGTGAAGAGGCAAGCTGCTTACGAACAGTGTCAATCGGTTGGCGCTCACCTAGTTACACTAAAATCTGCTTCTGAACAAGACTTTGTCACTTCTGCTGTGTTATTTTCACCCAGTGGAATGATGGGTCTCCTGTGGTCTTTACAGACTGGGAAGAACGCAAACCAACCGACAAGGACACTGGCTAAAATTGCGTTGTTATGCGCTCAAGCCAATGATGGAAAAAAATGGAAAAATAATTTGTTTGCGAAAAAGGCACCGAATCGCCTTGATCCTCGGAACATACAGAAAGGTTTATTCAGAAGGAACTAATCGAGCATTTTTTCATTACCAAAAGAGAGATGATAGTGGTGTTAGAGTAGATTTAATGGATAACGAAATTGAAGCACATTCAATGTAAAGTAAATTCTTCAAGGAAAACATTTAGGTGCCTTCTAGGAGGCAGATAGACCTTATACACAAGACCAGGTAATTTAAGGGTGACATGGATGTGACAGGGCATAGACTACTTAAAAGCCAACTGCTGTGTTGCTTTCATTAAATCACCTCACAAGCTTTTCAAGACAGCGTCATTTCGGCACCGTTTCTTGACTGACTCCCGCAATAACTAAACATTACTTTAGTGAGTTATTACTATTGAATTAACTAAGAGATTTGCCATCTCTTTTAGCAAATAGCGTTAGTTCGGAGTAACAACGAACAGACTTGCTCAATTTTAACAACCTTCCAGGATGGAAGGGAAAAGAGGGAGTGGATAAGGGAGGGGGAGCGCTGAAAAGTCAATCGTGACTGGTTCGTGTAAGAAAGCTATGCATACTTTGGTCGAGGTCATAACAGTAGCTTTCATCTGAAACTTGTCATCGCGTAATAATCACCACCGAAGATAGATAGTGTCTCCACTTTGCACAGAATAAAACGTAAGTTGTCGGAGGTCATCATCTAAATCCACCTCCCGACCCAGCTGTAAAAAGAAAACAAGCCCTTAGCTCGAAAACGTTGCATTTCAGGTCCCTTTTTAAAAGTCCTATTGGAGGCAATACTGTTTTCTACTTACTTTGCTGTCTACCGAAGACAACTTCTGATCAGAGCTGTCCACCTTGAACAATCGATAAAGTAATCCTTTGACTTTTCCGATTGTCATAGTTCCTGAAAAAAGACGAAAAAATTGAACCTGTACGGCTATCAAAAGCTTACTATATTTCTGAAATACTCTGAAAAGCAATAGACTTGGATCAAACTGAATTTGAATTAAATCATATCAAAATTAAAGCGACTGCGATTTACGTGCACTCAATAACATTTTTTCGTAAAAATGTTCATAATGTCCAGTAGAGCTTATTAAAGCTTATTTCATATTCGTTCCTCCAATATCAAACATTTATCTAGAATTTTGAAACCATAGTTGATACATTGGCCAAAGTGAAAACAACAAATGTGTTTATGAAAGATGTCTTGTCTCTGGAATACTTGCAGCGGAGTCGTACATTGAAATAGCCTCATACCAGGTAATTTCTTTGTGACAGACTTTTTATCAGGGGCATCAGGGCATGTAATTGTCACAGCTTTACAAAAATTGTGTTAAGAAATTTAACCTTATGAAACTGGACCAAAGCACCTCTGAAATTTAAACCTCTAGCTTATAAATGAGGATTAATGCTTTTTCTAGCCCAAAAAATTACGATGACTTTCCTAAACTTTTTCGGAACTTTCTCGATGTTATCTAAGACCCGAAATTAAAGTTGAGAGATTGGTTCCAAATAATGTGAAAACGATCATGCTCTGGTGGCATTTTTTTACTTGCTCTACACAGAAAAAATATCTTTCTATCTCCATAACTTTCTAGGTTAGCGGCCTAGGGGATATTTTGATTATACAAAATTCCACGACTTTCTTAGTTTCCTGACCCGTGCCAACCCTATTCTCTAGACAATGAGCCTAGAGGATATTTTGATCATACAAAATTCCACGACTTTATTAGTTTCCTAACCGAGGCCAACCCTAAAGATAGGGATGTTAAGGATACAAATTAAAGAGTCTTTCAGAGTCTTTGACGAGGAATGGTTTCTTTCAGCTTCAGAAGGAACACCGTGAACTGAAATACAAAGAAAAAAATTAAACATTGGAACCGAAAAAATTAACCTCAGAGAGTATCAAAAGTGAAAATTCCAAGATATTCCAGAAATCTTACTGTCGCTTTGCTCAGGCAAATCTGGAAGTTTCATTTTCTAACTGCAAGCAAGAATGATCGCAACAACCACTTTTATCTAGAAACCTGGATAATTTTAAAGAATTGTGCATAATAAACAAACCTTCAACGAGTTCTTCATATCTAGGGTGAGCTTCGATAAATTCAGGTTTTAGCACACTTTTCTCTCCTTTCCCAGGCATTCCACCGGCGTTAACCCATGAAGTAGCGTATTTCTTCAAATACGCTCGCTCTGCTATTTCTCTTTCTTTAGAATTCACCTAAAATACGATTTTAAAAAAAAAAGCAGCACTTTGAAAACAACACATTAAACGGTAACGATATAGCAAAAGATACAGATTGAACAGTTTGAAAAATGATAACGCTTCTTGACGCGCTTGCCACAAGTCGGAACCAATCACAACGTAAGCACTCTTTATTTAGCCAATGAAGGACAAGCTCACACGAAAATTTTCCCGCTTCTGCACTAGTGACACCAGCGACCAATCCTGCGACCAACCGCAACCGTAATTACCTTAACATTTCAAGAATTCTATAAATTTTATAAAACAAAAACAGAAACAACAGAATAACCAACGCAAATTGTTACGTTCATTTTTTGTGTGAATTTCCTTAAGAAAGACTTTTCTTAATAAAGAGATGCTCTTAAAACTGGGTTTTCTAGCCTATTAAAATGGCTGATGTTGAATAATTTAAGAACCGAAACTGAAATTTTGGAGGGACTAACCGGGCTTCCATTGAGGGATGTTAGCGAAGGAACACGTGCCAGCAGTTCTTGACGACTTTCGAACGTGGTTTCATCTGAGAGAAAAAAAAAAAACGATTTTTTAACTTGTTGCTCGAAACAATTTTCAAAAATGTAGCAAATGCAGCCATTTGTAATTCGTACCTTGAAAGAGAGGATTCCCTTTGAAGCGTAAACCATTCAATGAAGGAAGGTGATTCAACTCGTTGATACTTTGTAGCTTAAATTGGACAGAGAAAAGCAGAATTTGAGAACTGGCAAATATTTTACTTTACTTGTCCCATCAACCAAACATTTCTGTCTGTAAATAGCCAGGCAAACACAATGGAAAGTAGTATTGCTGCAGGTGAAGTATGTTCCCCAAACCACAATAGTGTATGTGAAATTACGACACTGACTGCGATTTGAGATTCCAAAGATTGGCATAACCCTTGAAAAGTTCAGTTTAAATGCGTCAAAAACTCGATAGAGCCAAAGGAAACATAACTTACCTCAGTTATTATGTTGTTGCTTAGGGAGAGAGATTCTAATGATGAGAAGAGAGGAACACCATCTGTCCTGTCTAAAGGAACAATGAAACAAATTTACACAGACTGTTAAATTTATGATGAAAACCACAAAATACAACAATACTTCCATGTACTTGATGTACTAACCTTGGACCTTGTTTCCCAATTCAACACTCTTTATGCCATTGTCATTTAAAATAAGACATTTCAGTCTGAAAAAAAAAGAATTTTGAACAGATAATTAACAATGGAGAAACTTAGGGTTTTGTATTAAACCAGTATGTAGACATGATGATGGGAAAACACAGATCATTATAAATGGCTTAATGGAAAACATAACATATCTACCACTGGAGGGGAAAAGTTTTTAAGTGTGTGCCTTGGATAATATTTGTGATTATTACCTTGGTAAATGCCCTAGTCTCAAAATCGTTTTCCAATCTGATAGCCTGTTTCCCTCTAGGTTGAGAAGTTCTATATTCTGGAGTGCTTGCAGCTGAGTGAGTTGACCATCTTTTTCCCTGCAAAATTTTTTTTGCCCATTGAATGTCCAGTGTCATTCATCTACCAGTATGAATACATAATCTGATATTCCATGATATTGTTTGTCAGATGAATGCCACAAGTCTTGAAAAAGTGAAAACTGATGGGTCATTTTAGCCAAGATGTCATTGGCTGTAAAACTCAAGCTGCATTCATCAATAGTGATTGCTCTGCTTTGATGCCTAGGGATGAACAAGGGGAACAGATGACAACAAACACTAGAAACAGTAGTGAAAAAGAACAAGTATACAGTGGCGTCTTCAGGCCACAATACTTTCTCACATTTCAGGTTTCGAGAACAGGAAAGAAAACCAAAGGGCTGATGTCAATCTGAGATCCAGTGTTCTACCATCACAAAACCTTGGTCCATCATACAAGGAAAAGACATTTTAAAAACTCTACAATTTACCTCAGATTGTTCAAGAAGTTGTGACAAGCATGAAGCTCTTTAAGTGAGGGCATCATGCTTACAATAACTTCTACCTACAATCGACAAGAAAATGATAAAACAAACATCAAAATCATATGTAACTAAATTTTAGAACACTATGCAAAATAACTAGAATGAGGCAAAGCCACAGCAATTGCAAAATTCCTTGTCAAAGTTTATGTTTCTCCTCAACTTAACTGAAAACTTATAATTTCTAAAACATGCAGTTGAGGAAAAAAAACTTAAATCAACAGTACATGTAACACTACATTTTAAAATTGCATTTATTTATAAATTTTTTAATTCCACATAACTACAGCTTTTATCTCTGTTTGCAGTATGTTCACAGGTTACAAATATCCCTTGGCCAGACTACATTGAGCAGTTTACAATTCCCCCCAAAAAACTTTCATAGACACTTGAAGATATTCAATGTTTCCTTCACCTCATTCCATTGAAGCCTCATTCTGTTGAGAAACATGACTGATACTGTGCTAAATGATGGCATCAGCTGTTCAGGGTTTTGAGGTAATTTTAGAAAATTTTCACTGGAAAATGAAAAAAAAAAAACAAAAAAATGTTAACCAACACAAAAATGGTCAAATTGCTTGGGCAATTATCTTATGTTTTCAAAAGTAGTTGACATGCACCTAAACTCATTCAGACATTATAAAAATGGAAGCATCTTCAAGCAAAATAACTTACTTAAGATGAATTGTCTGTAGTTGGTGTAAATTTTTTGTTATTAAAGCAACATCACTCCATGAAGATATAAGAGTACCAGACAGGTCAAACTCGGATACAACTAAATCAAGTTAAGAAGAAATTAAGATGGCCTTCTATTGTACTTGAGTGAAAAAATATATATATATACCATCACTTCTAAAAGGGGACAGTTGGCTTTAAGAGGCTTTAAAGTCAGAGACTTAATAGAAATAACATTTCAAAATTCAGGAAGGAGCAATCTTCATTTCTTCCAATTAGCTAACTGTAGATAAGCTTACTTGGGTAAGCTTATCATTCCGACCTCATGAAAAAGAGCAGAGATCCTCCCACAAACATCCCAGACTAAGAAAAATTACTATGTCACTATAATTACGGTAAGTTTGCACAGAAAAAAATTATATGTTTGTATTGTTTTCTTATATTTTGCTAGTGTTTCCAGTTACAGCTACTAATTTAAATTCAGGATACGTGGTGCTATTGTGTAAAATTCACTCTCTTTATCTGGTCCACTAACTGCCATTCCTCGTAGACTAACCACTGTTAGTTCCTTGTAGTTGCTGAAGATTTAATCCCAGTATCATGACATCAATAAATCATTGTAATCATGGAGGATCAATATGCTGGTTAATTATTAACAACTGCTACAGAAGAAGAACTGATGTTGTATACTTTGGATGTTTTGACTTGAAAAAGATGAAGTAAAATTGGTTAAGAGAAATAAATTGTAGTTCAGAAGCATATTATGAGGCATTTGTTTCTGTTAGAAATCGGGAGTAAAGACTCTTTTTCACAAAGAAGACTCCATCACATTGTATGACTTATAAAAGGGCTTTTATTCACAATTCTTTCCTTAATCTATGATTCAGATTGGTTTCAAAGGGACCTGAAAGTGGTTATTCAAGCAAGCTCTTCCTCTCTGTGTTGTTCCCACAAAAATCATTTTCCATCACTTCTTCATTCATTTCTTGACTTTCACACAAACTCTGTAACTTTCCAGGCCTAGAAAATGATACAATTGTTAATTTTCCACAACTCACACAGAGCCTGTCTTCTACAAATAACAATGAGTACCTTTGTTTTTCCTGAATAGAATCTGCGCCAACCATCTCTACAGGCTTTTTCTTGTTCTTACCGCTTATGACATACATGTCCTCTGGGTTGATTCCATCCCCACCCAGCCCATACTGTTCCTTTAGAGCATCTATGATGCTGATACCAAAGTCTACTTTCTTTGGTCTGACAAAGGAGCCACTCTTTGGATGCCTGTAATCATATGTTGAGAGAAAAGACTGATCACCACAGAGGAAGAGAAGAGGACCCACAAGAAAAACAACAGTTCCAATAGCACATTGGCCTGTTCAGTCACAAACAGAGCTGCTCCAATAGAGCAGACAACTAGTATTCTCTTCCATGGTCATCAGACTGATGGAGGGCAACAAAATCATTAGGCTACAGACACTTTAAAATTAAACATTCATAACTGATTGACTAAGTCAATCAGTCAAGCTTAGAATTAAATTATGTCTTCTTTAATTAGGGCTACATGTTCACAAACTGTAATGACCAAGAGTATTGCTACACTCCATAGAGATCAAGCTGAACTATTGCAGGCCAATCACTCTGTCATGAGGAGATGCAGTAGCCTTGTGCTTAATGATCTAGAGTGAATGTCAAACATTACCTGCATTCAAAATATTTCACCCCTTCATGTGTTCCATCATGTTTGCCTCTATCCGGATCATCCCATTCAATACCATACCACTCACCTAAAAAATATCATGAATTCCATGTTTTGATTATTTTTCATGAACTTAAGGAGTCTTTCTTTAGGATAACTTAGTAAGATTTTCTATACACTGTGATGACTTTGCCTGAAACACATGTAACATTTTCTTCCAACTATGAGACCAGTTCAAAACCAAGGAATCAGAGTTGGCATCAATTTTTCACCTCTCATAGACAAAGCAGCCAGTCAAACCCTCATTGCACTTTAAGTACAATTTGCCTTCTAGATGGCGGACCACCGCAAATTTCACCCTTCTCTGCTGGCGAGCAACCTGATCAGGACTCTTCTAAACAAATTTGGATCAATGTCAGTATCCGAGTAACTCAGTGCACCCCTTTATTGCGTTTTGATACTTCTTATATATGTACGCTGGTAAAAGTTTTTTTCTTACTTTAGCTATTCCTTAAATTCATTTATTGTAGAAACATGTCATGAATAATTGGGGTCAGCAATATGTGTTTTTCATTTCGTTACTACATTTCTGAGTGTCTAACATACATGAATACGTAAATCAATTCAAACATTCAACAAGCACTGAATGCACGCTATCGTAGTTTTCGGTATCTCTATGACAGGTATCAGTGGGTTTGCGCGCACATAGGCATTCTTTTACCTCATTGTTGATCGAATTGAACAAATAATCTACCCACTTACCTGAGGTAGGAGGAACTTCCCCGACATATTTTATTACTCCGCGAAATCCCTCGCAGATCACTCTTTTACCTATAACTTCATCTGCCATATTGTTTACACCAAATGTTCTGGACAGCGGCTTTACAAGGGAATTTTAATAGAACACAGGTACTAATTGGTTTAGACATCCACATAAGAAAGTGACCAATAGGAAGGATTGTTTTGTCGTAATGATCTAATTTTTCGCGCCAATTTTCCTTGCTTTACGCTGTGTTCATCCACACGGGAGTAGTAGTTATGCAACATGCCACGAGGGCGCAAACGAAAACCGGACGATAATTCTGACCGTGGAAAAGATGAAGCGGCAGAGGCCGAGAAAGAAATATCTGCTGATGAAGATAGTCCAGTGAAAAAGAAGAAAGATCTGTCCAAGAGCTTGACTTTCAAGATCGAGCATTGGTAGGTTGTTCTCATATGGTTTTTTTAAATCTCAGAGCAATTTGGGTAAAATTTCCGCACAGCACCATACTATTGTTAAACAAATCTGTTTTCCCAATGACAATGTATTGTTTTTGTCGTTGTTTTCCCTATCCAAGAACTGAATGCATAATGTAGTATGGGGCTGTGCGGAAATTTAACCGCAATTTGATCGGTGTCTACATTGAATGTTTGGATCCGTTGTTGAATCAAAACAATTGTGAGGTTGTATACCAGAGTATCTTACCGATGGTATGTTACCCTCCCCTGGGATTCTCAAACCTCCCTTACCCCAACTCTCGGTTTCAAAGAGAATTAATTAATTATCTTCCATCTCCTGCTTAAAGGCCTGTGATTTAATTGTGTGCGTATTTTATATGACACACAAATTGTTTACCAACCATTAATATGTGGAGTTTTATTTAGTGAAGAGATCTAACCTGTGCCAGCCTTTGTTTAGCCACAGCAAACAGCCCATATGTAGTTAGAAAATGCATGGCCCAGTCTCATTGCGGTATTTCCACCTTTAACTTTTAAGATCTGATTGTTAATTCTCCCCTCTAGCTGCTACACATTTCCTTGTAAATTAGGTATGAGAATTTGGTGCAAGATCGACTTAACAAATTCTACCTTATAATTTTGATTATTCTCATTACCTGTTTGCTGGATAATATGTGGATATTATAAGGAGAAGTTACATGTTAATCACTTCCAGGGATTAAAGGGTCAGACTTCTCTTCTATTTTTATTTTTTACAGTAAATCCTGACAGGTGTATAAAAGGAATGCAAATCAGTTGTCCTCGGACTTGCTGAAGGCATTCCCAAGTGCCCAGGTTCTTATCAATGAAACTAAACCACGTTCAAAGAGTTTTGAATTAACAGCCGTGAAGGAGGATGGAGAAGGTTGGTGAAAAACAAAACATGAAAAGTGTGTCAGTTCCAAAGGGGATGGTAACAGGGTCTTTTTTTAAAGAAATGTAGAAATAAGAGTAATCACAGATTATTTTCCACATCTAACTTAAAAAAAAAAAAAAAGCTGAGGCCAGTGAAACTTAGCCAGAAAATCCTTCGTAAAAGCAAGAAGCCATAGAATTCTCCAATCTCTGATTCTTTAACCCTTAAGTCCTTAATATCAGTTTGTGTCCTCTTCAAATTGACCCTCTTTCTACATTTCCATTTTAGAGTTACAGCTTTGGACAGGTATAAAGAAGGGCCCACCAAGAAAACTGAAATTTCCAGTTAACAGTGATCTCATTGAGGAAGCAATGAAACTACTCTAGTGGCTTATCATCACTCAAGATCAGGTATTAAAAGGAATGTATTTTTCTTTAATCACACTGCGTAGGGTTTTAGACATACTCTAAAATTAAATCTATTCATTCACAAGGTTTCTTAGGCATTTAAATAAGTGTTTTCTTAAATTCTTCTGATGAGAAGCACATAATTTTTACTTGTGTATTTAATTGCAGGTTCATGTTGAAGTTTAGTTTGGATATTTGAGGCTTTGGCCTACAAGAAACTGATTTCTGTTTTCTGTACATTGCAACCAAATAAATGACAGTCTACGAAACAATGGAGCTCTTTGTACCATTCATAGACTTGATGTAGAGTTGGACTCTGTACATTGATGAAATTAGTAATCTGGTTAGGCTTGACCAAAAAAATATAAGAAGTTGTATTATTGATTTGTGTTCATAAGGGAATCCATTTTTAAAACATTTACCTATCAATAATTATTATAGTCAGGGTTGAACTATGTTTGTTTATTTGTTTTGTTGTTGTTTTGAGAAATTTGTGATGAGATGCACTAACTGATAACTACATGGTTTTTAATGGGATAATTTGACTAAAAAGTGTTTGAATGAGTTTGAAGAAGAAAGATTTGCTTATCAGAGCTTTTCTGTTCTTGCATAGCCAATAATAGTGAAATGAAACAAATAAAGAAGTTGTTAGTCTGTTTGCTTCTGTTGTGTTTCCTTATTGTAATTTTATATGGGATGTAATTTTTCATAGGCAAGCAATTCACCCTTTAAATCCCTTGGGTGACAAAGACAGAATTTTTCCGTATAATATCAATACTATATCAAGCAGACCAATGATGAGAATAAAGAGAAATATCAATTAAGGGATAATTGTTGATCCACTTGCAAATTCTCCAAACTAACATCATAAGCATTGTAAAGCAGACAGTAAAGACAATGACTTATGAGATTTGGGAGTTAAAGGGAAAAAATTGTGAGAAATAATTAGTTACGACACATTCTAAATCATAATAATGTGATATTATTTATGTGTCTCTTAAATGAATCATTAAACTGTTTTGGACTCTATTTATGTGTCATGAGTTAAAGTTTGCACACCCTTATGTCTTTACATCAGTTAATCTTTTTATTGCCTAGAGGTTTTTCCAAACTGTAAATTGAACTATCAAATAAATTTCCAGACTACAAATAGTCTTCGCAAATAGTTTCAATCCTCCTTTACAAGTATGCAAAAGGCAAAACAAAAAGGTATCTTCAATGTGCTTCAGTGAAAAGCTAAGCACAAGTAATAATTTTCAACAAATGAAACAAAAAATTCTGATTATTCTCCTTATGACATATGCTCCAGAAAACATTGATGCTGATATATATATATTACCACTTATAAATCATTCAGGAGGTGTTTTGAATAAATTTAGAGATAACAAAATGTTTACCATTAAGTTTCAAATTTATACCAAACAGATTATCTGTGCTTTGGACCACAAAAGATACCTTCATTCATTATTAATGCATGACCAAGTCACAACTTATATTGAAGGCAAAATTTTAGGGGTGCGTGGGGGCCTTTTATCTTTATTTATGTTTTCTGCTTAATGAAACTGCCTATGGCAGATGCAAGGCAAGCTGCTGAATACAACAAAGAGCTTATGATACCCAGGGTATAAAAAGTGGTGCACTTTTCCTTTTGGTGGTGGTGGTGGTGGGAGGGGCTTTACTAATCCTGATGAAAAGCAGTACCCCTCTTTTAAAAACACATATTACTTTCCAAAGGGAGCCTCTGAGGAAACAAAAGAGAAGGTTGGTTTTTCCAGAGAAGAAATTTTGTAACATTCTTTATATCAGTATGTAGTTCTTCTGAATTTTTGAATGACAATATCATGGCACAAGTGGTCTGCAAAAGTGGTTTAGCAACACTTGTGTCTAAAATGAAATGTTGGAGGAAATGCACAACTGAAGTAAATGTTGCCCTGCCAATGGAACCAAAGTGTACTCAATTGGGGGAATAAACTTCCAAGTATTGTGACACCAGAGAACTCTCTATGGGGTCTTAGCAGCAGAAGACCTTCCTCTCTCCCCCCCCCCCCCCCAATCCCCCTAGCACTAAGACATAGGCAAAAACACTCCCAAACATAAACTTAAGTTTACGTTCTCTGAGAATTTTTCCGGTAGAGACGAAACAATATTTTTTTCCCATAAATCAAGGCTAAAACGGAGATATGCATTTGTGAATATTTGATCTCCGGTACAGCAAATCTTTCTAAAAAAAGAGAAACTTTAAAAAGCTCTACGGAAATGACCGTGTATTAATGATTGCAATGGTGTTTGGGTAATTTCAACGCTCTTACAAGTTGCAAGTGTAAATAAACAAAACTAATTTTTTCTTGAGGTAAAATACAGCGCAAAATAAATAGCCACGAGAATTGAATGTAGATGAAAAAATACTTTCATCTTCCTTTCAATCATCTTTGGTTTTCGCTTTGATCAATCCCAATTCCTGTATGACTTTATACTGGTCTGGTATTTCCATGAGCGCATGAAGAGCGAAGGAAGTATCTGGATGTTTCGCGTTGCGTATAACAGCCTCGTATTCAACAAACTGAAAATTGTCGAACCGTCTTTGCGGCAACATATCGTCATACTCATGCATACGATCCCATGGACCGTCTCCTACTCCAACAACAATGATCGAAAGTGGAAAATACGACGCCTCTACAATCGCTTCCCTTGTGCTACGTTCGTGTTCCTCGACAACCTGACCATCAGCTACTATCACCAAAATGTTGTATGATTTATCCTGCTTGACGATCTCTATAGCTTTGTTGATGATCGGCGCAAATGAAGTCGGACCACTTAGAGATACTCGGCCAACAACATCGGTGTACTGTTTCAAAACATCGCACAGCCCTTGGCACGGAGTGCCGTCCTCGTTGAAACTAAACACGCTATGATCTTTAGTCACGGAATCACCGAATCCGAATGCTGGAATTAGCTTGTCTCCGTCAAACGGTTCGAGTGTTTTGGTTATAACTTGCACAACACGCTGGTAGGGGTTCAACCTTTTGGTGTTGTTGAAAACGTGATGCAATGACCGTCCACCGAAGCTTTTTCTTCCTTGCCATTCGTTACTCGCCGTGAAATCAATACCAATAATAAGATTGCTCGACTCTAAACCAGCTTTTTTAATTGCACTTGAAACTTCTTTCACCGATGAAAATCTGTCCTTAATAGCGTGAAATTCACTCAGGCCGAGAGTCTTACACAAAGTGGAACCTCTGAACCGTTTCGAAACCACCTTGTAAGTTTGAAGTGATTCCTTCGGTCGAAAGTAGATGGAGTAGACAACAAATCCGAAAATAGCAGATGTAAAAAACAGTATAACATCTATTGGAAAACCAAGCTCCATTTTCCTCTCCAAAGTGATTTGTGAAAAATGAATCAGCAAAGCAACTAAACAATTAATTCACGCACCTGGAGCGGCCATGACACTCTCAAAGGTTACGTATAATTCTGTGTCGTAAGGGAAAGCGTGACAGTTGTTGGATTGAATAACACAACGTTTCCTGGTTGATATTGCTGAAACTCACTGAAAGTGTTTTTTAATTGTGCTTCGCCTTTTTTATATTCTGTAAAACAGTATAGAATACGTGCGTTGAATGATCATAAGCTTTGTTTCTATTAACGTTTCCTACGCTCATGCATTAAAATATCACCTTGTCACGGCTTGCGGAAAAACGTCACAGTTTAAGGACATACGTGTAAGGAAACGAAAATGATCATGAATGCACACGATTTACATGGATCGTTCGCGACCAACTTGGAAATCTTATGCTAAAATCTTAGGTGCATTTTCAAACTCAGTGTTTTACAAGATGTTGTCCAGACGAACATGGGTAAGAGCCTACGAAGAAAAGACTTAAAACTTATGGAATTTTAACACGTACTTTGAGGCGTGATGTCGGTCTTACATTTATATTGCTAATCAAAGTCCAAGAGACTTTCATATAAGACATTCTCCGTCCTCTTAGAGTTTGTTTACATCAGACAACCGTGATAAGCAAAACGTTGAAAACAAAAAAAAACAAACAAACAAAAAGAAACTAACATCTAGATCTTTTTTGAAGGTTAAATAAGGTTCTTTATCGCCTATTTACGTGGCCTACTGAACACCCATATTCAAATACACCGCTCTCTTTACCACAAAATAATGACGCAAAGAAACTTTATCGAGAGAAGCAAAAATTTAAGTTTTATTCGATGAATATCGCCATAAGCCACAAATCACGCCAGAGATATTAAGTAACACAGGTGTTTGAAGACTGTTATTTTAAAAGTTGGATTAATTAGGAAGATGTTCGAATTGTACTCGACACTTAAAATTATCCTGGCCAAATTTCAACTGAGCCGATTGAGCGGTTTTTGCTGTACTCCGACATTTAATCGAACAAATTTGTTGATCCATCTGTTTTAAAACACATGTACACCTGTCGCTTGCGGCCACGAATTGAATGATCTCGTATCATAAAATGCAGATCAGTTAAGCATTGAAAGAGGAGATGAAAAAATAATAAATATTTTCTCGCGACAAAAGCCTCTCTTTAATCTCAGTGCGGGGAGATGTCGGTCCGTAGGTGAAAAGTTAAGTGACGTGATTGACTTAAAATAACTATCAATACTGAATTGTGACCTCTCTAATTGTGTTTTGACTGAGCTATGATTTTGTGTTAATTTGAATATACTAATTTGAAGAAGAACGGAGATGCAGAAAATCAAGTAATAAAGTCAGGTATTCAAAGAAAAACTTCAAAAAATGATTATTTTGAAGCTAGGAGTTGACTATTCGACAATTTTTGATTAATTTGAATTGAATGATCTAGATTTAGATAATTATGTTCATGAAGGAAAATGACTGTTTTTTTTGTTTTGTTAATTATTTTTCAAGAAATAAAAAAACGATCTTCGCAGATCAGCAGTTATAATTGCAATTCCACGAGAGAAGCCGGAAAAATTCAGGATTTTATGAGGTTCGAACTCTTGCCTTCAAATATTGCAGTCAGGTGTTTCAAAACATGATCATTTCGAATTAAGCAATAACGAAAGAGAAAGAGGTTTTTCTTTTTTAATAAAACTTTCAATAAACATAAGAAGACAATAGAGTCCATAATCAGATGCTAGCGTCCGAATGTCTAATAATAATGTTAATTAATTAATTAATAATGTTTAAATCGGAATCTAGTAACTTGAGTCAGACACCATTATCAAACACCGGAAATTAGTGTAAAAAATCAGACGCTATTGCCTGAAATCGGACACTAGTGTCTTACAAATCAGACACTAGTGTCTAAAATCAGACGCTACTGAGTTTCTAAAATCGGACACTATTGTCTAAAATCGGACTCTAGTGTTTATAATCGGAGTATAATGGCTAGAATCGGATACTACTGTCTGAAATCGGACTTAAATGTCTAAAATCGGACGCTAGGGTCGAAAATGAGACGTTTCTGTCCTACAACGGAATCTGTTGTGGTGAGTGACGCGTTACTGTTCGTAAACGGACACCAGCGTCTGATATTGGACGTAAGTATTGCGTATTTTTTGGTCCTCGACTAGATTAGACTGACTCTGAAAGACGTTTAATATAAAGGCCCTGGCCTTAGGAAACACTTTCTTTTCTGTTTATCCAGATAAATAATTTGTATCGAGAGGAACCCTCCGTGTAAGGAGCCCCTAGTAACAAATTCCCTGGTGGAGTGAAGCTCATTTTTCACTCCAGTAAAAACAGTTTGTTTATGAGAAGCCATTACCACAAAGTTTGCTGTATGATGAACCGCAATTTTCTAATTTTTTCCCAACCTTTAACTTCCAAAAGTTATTGACATGTATAACTTCTTCCTATAATACCCATACAATATCCAGCAGACAGGTAATGAGAAAACTAAAACTGATTAACTAGAAGTTGTTATCTTGATCTTAGACTAAATTCTCGTAACTAAGGGGTTTAGCCGCTGTTCAGGCTTTACCCGACGACATCATATTATAAAATCTATTTATTCCAAAATACTTAATCAAAGTCTTCCTACTTTCCTCTACAGTAATCTGTCCCCGTCCACATACACAGTTACGTCTACTAATATTTTTTTGACCTTCAACGATAACGGTTATCGCATCTAAATCTACAGTTGCTATACAATGCGAAGAGTTCACTTGTCATTTCTTCTCAATAAACTTTCATATCCAGCTCAGTACCCTTCCGAAAAATCATCAATCAGTACCACTCCTGTCTAATTAGCAGCTGTTATGTTTCCTTCTTCAGTGTCAGGGAGATCTTTTCCATAAATGTTAATACAAAAGTCCACGAAATTCCCCAAAATGAACCAAAGCACACTGAAATAAACCAAACTAACACCTGCCATTCTCACACCTTCGGATTTCAAGTTATTTTTCCTGAATCCCATTGCGAGAATTAATATCCCAGCAACGAATGCTAGAAACGGGTAGACGCGCAGGAAAGCTATCCTGAATGGATTCTTGCAAGAAAAACAGCTCCATATGTCGCCTGGTATTGTTAAGCTGGAGGTTTCATTGTCATCTAAAGATCCTGCGCTTTCCATCTTTGAAAGAATGACGATGAGCAAAATTTGCAAAGTTCAAACGGTTTTGAGTGCGTTCTTCGTTATCGATGTTTCACACAAGTTGTAAAAACACTGCATTCTTATGATGAATCGGGGTCTTTTGAAGTATTTTTGTAATTAGAACAACGCATTTCTGAAGTGTAATTTTTCACGGGTCTAAAATAGATGCCCAAAGGCCAGCGTTATTACGAATCTCTTGTTTGGTCATCCTGCTTTTAGTGCACTGTTTTTACTTTCGTTTCCCGTAATAGATTTATCTCGTTTTGTGGTTCTCTGCCGTGCCATTAGATCACAGATTCGCCTCCCAAAATGCCTTTTTACATTTGACATGATGAGAGATCGAATTAAGCTGTTTGCAGTTACAGAACTCAGGTCAGGTTATCAGCCTATTATTCAATTATCAGTCTTCATTCAACAGTCCCAGCTAATTAAATAACAAATCATTACCACACTGCAGGTAAACGATTGCCCCAAACAGAGTACTTCCAATCTGGGGAACTGGGGGCTAAAATTAGCACTCGTGCTAACAATATATATATTCGTTCCCAAGCTTCTTGACGGACAGCCGGTATGGTGTCTGCTTTTTCTATGCTACTGAATTGAGCTTTGCGGTTAACGTGGGGTGAATGCCAAAGCAGCTCCTTAGCAAATGAAATGTTAAGCCAATTATAAGCTTAAATTGAAGGCACGTAGGAGTAGTCCGGCCAACTTCTTGTCAATCGCCTTGAAAAAGTGAGCGGCAAACGCATTACATCCCAGAGTTAAGAAATGGATGATTTAATTCAACTAACATGGACGGTTCCCTTCTTATTGTTCCCTGCTACGTTTATCGAAGCCTAACAGCAAAGACCGTCTAATTTTTAGAGACTATGACAATGACTGAAATATAAGTCCTGATGGCTATTTTCATAACATCTGTACAGAACATGACTGATCATTTAAATCTGATAAAAGTACTTCACCTTCTCGGTCATCCTAACTCAATACTCGAATATTTTACTTGATCCTGCGAGGAAATTAAGGCTTTCTGTCTAAGGATATTTCTAATTTTGTTCTGTTTCAGCTTAATTAACAACTAGATCCATTTGACACAAAGTAAATGAAGCACCTAACTCTCGATTTAACCGTTCATGATCGCGCTCACTAGAATTAAAAACGTTTCTAAATACTTCCAATTTGAGTGTTCGCTGTCGTTAACGGTGGAACAAAAATCATCTTCACAAGAAAACCGTAACTTGGTTTTCATGCAACGAACCCATCTCTGGCCTCTTCTGATTACACGAAGGGCGTTCGCAATTGAACGTGTCAGTACCACCTTAAAAAAAACATACACAACCAAATTTAAACATGATTGATGAGTACGCGAGTCGCTGTCTTTGATCTGATAAATCTTTACAATTAGAAAACAAAGTAATCAACAAGTAATGCATGCCGATTTACTCATGTTTACCTGAGATTGTTGTATTAAAGTTAATACGTTAACTCGGATATCTTACAACAATAAAAGCTCTATATTAGCGTAGAAGATACTCAGTATTTACCCATAAGTCGACATAAGAAAGCTATTAAATTGTTTCAGTTCGTATTTACCACTGGCAGCATTTAATACTAAAATGGCTTTGCGTGCCTCTGTACACGACTATATCTCGTTAAATTGAAACTATGTGAACAGGAACAACCCAATTCGCTCTTTTGACCTCTCCGCTGGCTTCTACATTCGCCACAAGGGTAAACACGCGGCGTTATTTCAATATCTTTAATTCACAAAACTTAAAAGAGTAAAAAACAACTTTGAAACTACCTTAAGCCAAAATATCGGTAAAAAACTAAAACATTTTATTGGGTCGCCGAAAACAAACGAATCTTCTCTCAAATTCCTCTATATTGATGTACAGTAATCCGGATTTGGACTGTATTCAGGGAATCGAAAGAAAAGTCGTTTCAAGTTTTGTTGTAAATTTTAAAAGTGTGAAACCTTTGGTGAAAAAGCGGAAATTCGTTTTCTTAAAATTTCGTGGTGAACATCCTTTTGTTTAGCTAGTTCAGGCGGAAGAACAATTTTTTTCTTGAGTATTTTTTGGTTTTCGGTTTGGAAGGGTAACCTGTCTGTGTAAATGATCGATAACTTCAGTTGTTGACCTTACATTAATTTAAACTCCCGTACGTGACGTCTGTGGAACGTTTCCGGCGAATTGTACATAAAGGAAATCACGACACTAATAGGCTATTTAGAAAATATAGTGAAAACCGCGGTTATAGCATACCAGGACAAGAAAAGCATTAGTCGACTTAAAAACATCAGAAGCTCACATTGAAATTTATAACACGCAGTGAAGAAAAAATGGCAAGCGACAAGGAGGTGGGAGGAGAAGAAAAACCTCAAGTTATTTCTCAGTTGGAGCCGAGTAAACGGCTGTGCCTCTCAACACATCTCATCTATCTTTACTTGTTTCCCGTTTGCGCGTTTCTAGCTTCTTTGGTTCTTGTCTCGCTCGCATTCAAGACACCACGTCCGGGAATCTCACTTGGGTCCAGTTTCCTACTGTTTATACTTGCCATTGTGTATTGCGCGATTGCAAATGCATTGAGGTCTTTTTGCTTACCGAGCGACGAGCGAGATTCAGACAGTGAAAAGAGTTATGTAACTGTTGATATGACTTCTTTGGAAGAAGGGGAGCTTGCTATCAACACCGATGCGTAGGAGAACACGAACTTTCATTACTGAGAATTCGACTTTACATTGCTAATGACAGTTAACATGTCTATTCATATCGAACTGACCAGAAGAGTGTGTGCTGTTGCTAAACCTGTGAGAGAACGATGGCCAACAAAAAGACCATTTCAATGCCTCTATGAAGCAACTTCTTATCCCTTCAGCATCTATATTTGAGTCTAGCACCGATGAATTGGATGTAACTGTGAACGAACAAGTTGAAGAACGCGTAAAATAGGACGGGTACGAATGAGTTCATAAAGAAAATAAAGTCCAGCTACTGAGAGAAAGAATTTCATCATGGTTCAAACTTCAGTGCGCACTACTGTTTGCCAAAACCTTGGTCATATCAAAGTTATTGCATGACTTTGCCTCAATTAAGCGTCCAGTGGCACACATTGATGACTGAAAACATGCAAGAGACGAAGAGTTTTAATTTGAAGGACTTTAAAGGTTTTCGACGATACTTTTGACGTCACTTAATCTGGAGCTAAACTACCTTTGTCGGCTCGGACTACAGGACCGAAAGGCTTCATGGGTCCTTCAACTGAGTTGTCATTTTCATAGGGGAACGGTCATATTTATCGCGGGGGGTTTGGGGGGTTTTGTGTTTTCACGTGATTTTCAGGGAGGAAAGAGAGAGGATCAGTCGTCGCCGACGGAGGGGGTTGGACTGTCAATTAGCTACTAATGAGGGGGAGGGGGAGGGTCATAAGGCTTAATGAATGCCTTAGGATGATCAGGTAAATATTATCGTGGTACAACCAAAATCCTCCATCCCCCCTCCTTCAAGCGGAAATAACGACTGGTCCCCAGCTAATATCTAACTTAGAAATTAAATTGAGAGAAGTGTCCAGTGAGAAGGGACTAAAAACTGCATTAAACTCTTGTGTAAATGTGTAAATGGCATGTAATTTTGTAAATATGTTACCATTGTTTTAAGCATGCTTAAGAGAAGTTCAGTTATTGAAAAAGGGGAGATAAATGTTTTCATATCCTTACCAAGAAACCTGTTTAGAAGGCCGAACGGTCCTGACTTACACGTACTTGTTTGGAGATTTTTTTGTGGTAAATTAAAGTGAGAGCCTAGATAAAAAATTTATTTAGAAACATATAGATTTTATTCTTTGAACCATTTTGTTGAAACAAGTTGTGCACGCGAATCTTGGCCATTTGCAATTCAGTATTGGGCAGTTCCGTCTCTCCAATGTTTTTTCATAGCAGACATACTGGTGTTATACAGGAGCCTTTTAAAATGGGCTCTTGTCTTATACACTGAAATGTGGAAGAAATATTTTCTCTGGTCTTGTGTATATCAGTTTTAAATCAGTACAGAAAGCATTGCCATGATCAGAGGAATAAATCAACTCTTTGCTCAAAATAGCTGAAAATTCCCCAAAAAGGCTTAAAAAAATATCAAAAAAAGAAAATGGTTTGGAGACTCGACCTCGTCTAAAGTGCCAATAAAGCCAAGTTTTCCAGCCTGATCGCTATATACGACCCACGCTTCTTTGCAATCACGCATTCTTATCCATAATCCCTGAACATTATAAATTATTCACTTATACATCAATCTAGACCGATGTTTGGTTATTTAACTGTTTTTTAATAATTAATGTTACCTAGAGACAACCTCTCTAGACACCTAAAGGCTAAACTGTTACTTTATTTTCAAATTTGATGTTTTAAGAATAAGGTCACACAAAAATTGCTAATTAAAGCGTATATTTAGAAGACTTTTACCGGAAATGCAAGAACTTTTGTTTACATTAAGTTCATACCCTAATCTTCGACAGATGTGAAATGACGTAGTGGATTTGTGTAGGTTTTTGTTGTAGTTCGTTGCCAGGAAACGGATCGACTGCTTTGCTTCATGGGAAGCGACATTTTGCATAAGCTACATCAAATTTGTAAAGAACACGAGCATTGATAATTCTAACCGAAGTCGCTTGCTTTTATCATTGAAGTCATTTATTTCCCGTGAACGTCTGTATCTTGTTGAGTGATCGAAGCATTTTTCGTTGGCAAAATCTGGAGAGTGAATGTCTCGTAAATGATTCTTTAAATGCAGTGTTTGACCTGTTTACTCTATGTTGCCTAAGAAGCGAAACAGAGAAGAGCACAGAATGCGAGTAGCTGTGTTTACTTAGATTTCTTCAAGAAGGAACCCCGATCTTGAATTTTTCTGTTGGATTGTGGACATAGCAGCGAGATAACAGTTTTGGCTCGCTTGGATGGCGAATTCGAGGCCGTGCATATGCGGAAAAAGAGAAGAAAACATATGAACAAGCCGCTTTGCAGTATTGAGAGCTATTTTCGACGAGATATTGTTCTTATTTGTGTTTTGAAAAGAACGTAAATTTTGGCAAAGATGAAACGCTACCAGAACTTAAAGACGCTCGGGGATGGAACTTATGGATCAGTTGTGTTAGCAAGAAATCATGACACAGGAGAGACAGTTGCAATTAAAATGTAAGCTCAGATTTTTCATCCGTGCGTGGCCTTCAATTCATACTTACACGATGGAGGATTATTGAAATTTTTAACACTTTAGCACTTTGTTAATTGGCTTCCGTAAAACCAATTGTTGTTTTAATTTTTCAGAATGAAAAAGAAGTATTATTCATGGGAAGAATGTATAAATCTCCGCGAAGTTAAGGTAGGTTTATCACTTTATTAGGCTTTCTGGATTTAATTTGGAAAGATATGGACATCTCAGTTTCAAAAGGAGTCACTTTGTTCCGTGATAAACTGAGGAGGTTTAACCATATTTTTCTAGGTGTGATATTTATTATTAGACGTATCAGGTATATTGTATTTACTCGTTGGTGAACTGTGAAATAAAAATTCTCTAGCCTTTAGAATGCACAGCCCAGCGCAAGGGATAATCTGTCATAATTAAGAGATTATCATTTGCACCTAAAGATTGTCTGATAAATTGCATTTGCATATAGGTGTGTGTAGCCTACACAATTCATTGTTACCCAGTTCCCCTTAAAATCAATCGGAAAAGATTTCTGTATAACCCCATGTCGTTCTAAAACAAAGATAATCTACTTTCCGCATCATTGTTTTTTTTATCCAAGAACTGTAAGCATAATGAAGTATGAGGCTGTGCAGAAATTTTGTCTTCAATTGTTCAGCCAAGGAAACAACCTTGATCTGGTTGACTGACTTTTAATTCTTGTTAAAAAGGAAAAGCAAGGGTGGCAAGGTCCATGTGCTTTATGCAAAGTTAGGTCGAAGAAGGAAGGAATTTGTCATTGTCTTAAAAACTACTATTCTTGTGGTGACATAAATTTTTTGGATTTTATGCGGTGAAATTAACATGTTTGATCTGAGCTGTAGAAATAAATATAGTTTTTACTAGTAATTTTAATATATATCTTGCTGTTTTTAATACTTCACTGTAAGCAAATGCAATACTGAGGCATTGATTTCAAACTGGAGACTGTTATTGCTAGTTAGACATTGCTAATAAATTCAATATGCTTAGTGAAAACATTAATGCGCCAAATTATGTGGACATTTTTAGTGAATGGTAATCATTGTTATACTTTTTTTTTCTAGTCACTAAAGAAATTAAACCATGCAAATGTGGTGAAGCTGAAGGAAGTTATAAGAGAAAATGACCAGTTATATTTTGTTTTTGAGTACATGAAAGAGAATCTATATCAGATGATGAAAAGCAGGTAAAAATATAACTATAATGTGAAAATTGACATTAACCCTCCCCTCTAAGCATTGATCAAGACATAATTTCTCCCTATAATATCCATATAAAATCAGCAGACAAATAATGAGAATATAGAAAAATATCAATTATGAGATTTTTGTTTGATCTGATAGTAAATTCTCAGAGCTTAAATTATAAGCATTGTATGGCAGACAGTATGGAGAATTACTTAAGAGATCTTGGAAGTGAAAGGGTTAAATGGAGACCTACTCATTGTGATATTTACTACATTTTAAAGGTTTGCTGTTTCAATTGTCATTACATTTTTTTTTTCAGGGATAAATTGATTCCAGAATCTATGATTAGGAATATCATTTATCAAGTTCTTCAAGGCCTTGCCTTCATACACAAACATGGTAAGATGGGGTTATTAAGGGTTGAGAGCTGAGATGCTTTTTCTGTCTGATGCAAATTTTACATCACTTGGAGATGTACAATGCATAAGTGATGTTATATATCAAAGTTTTGTCTGAGCACTCTTTAGGTTCAGACTGAACATAACAACTCATTTGAATTTCAAGGGTTAAAGAAACTTAACCAAAATCTTTGGTATTCAGAGTAAGTATGAACCTTAACCCTTTACCTCCCATGAGTGCCTAAAATGGAATTTCTCCTTGCAATATTAATACAATATCAAGCAGACAACTGAAGAGAATAAAGAAAAATATCAATTAGGGGATTGGTAGTTCATGATCCAATACTAAATTCTCCAAAATTCACATAAGAATTATATGGCAGACAGTATGGAGAATTACTAATTAGATCTTGGGAGTTAAAGGGTTAAATGTCTCTTTTAACCCTTTAACTCCCACAAATGATTGAAATGTAAGTTCCCCCTTTAATATCTATACATTATCCAGCAAAAAGACAATGAGAATAATCGAGCTTATCAGGGAGAAGTTTTTATTTTCTTTGAGGACCAAATTCTCATAACCAATTTATAAGGAAATGTGTTGCAGCTAGAGGTGAGAATTAACAGTCAGACTTTAGGAGTTAAAGGGTGAAGAGATGTGGAAAATTTGTTTAAATCAAGTCTATTATTTCCATCAAGACTTAGTGAGAAAATTGTAATGATTTACTCTTTTAACATTAAATCAAATTTGCTATTTAAAGATATAACAAACAAAAGCTAAAAAAATTTTTGAGCTGTATTTTATTAAATAATCTATATATTGCTTTGAATTACACAGGATTCTTTCATCGAGACATGAAACCTGAAAACTTGCTGTGTACTGGACCAGAGCTTGTGAAGATTGCTGATTTTGGCCTAGCAAGAGAAATCAGATCGCGTCCTCCTTACACAGATTATGTCTCTACAAGATGGTAAGAGTTACAATAGCTACAAACAGCAAAATTTTTCTAATACTATTAAGTTGATAATGATATCGTTGAAGACTCAAATTTCTTTTTCACTTTGGGTAGTATTCTGAGACCTCTGTTAGGAAAGGTTATTATTCAGACAAATATCACTGGATAAAAATCCATATATGAGGGCTGCATGCAGTGGTGTAAACTGGGGCAGTAAAGGCTAATCAGCCTTGAATTGGGTTAGTCCAAACAGGAAAGAATTGGCTCTCTGTCAAGACACATGGACTTCAATGCGTTCAGCTGGTACGTTATGACCTTGAGCCAAATATTTTCCCATCTGGCCCTCCCACTCAGTCAATAAGTACACTGTATATAATTATCCATCTTCAATTTTCTAATATGTTGTAAGCACCTAAGTTCTATTTTTTATCTGACAGGTATCGCGCACCTGAGGTGTTGCTACGCTCAACAAATTACAGTTCACCAATTGATATGTGGGCTGTGGGGTGTATCATGGCAGAGCTTTACACTCTGCGGCCTCTTTTTCCTGGCAGTAGTGAAGTTGATGAGATTTTCAAGATATGCAAAGTTCTTGGCACACCATCAAAGGTTAGTTTTCACACACTTGTACATTAGATACTGTTGACAGCTTGACACTGTTGGCCCAACAATAATTGTGCCACTACTAGGCAAACAGAAGGCAAATTTAAACAAATATACTTGTAGCTTACAGAATTATTTGTTATGCCCAAAATTTGTTGTTAGTGATGCATATAATGGCCACATGCATCCTGCTAGAGCAGGAATATTTAAGAGGCAGGCAATTTCTTGCATTGATTATACTTTAGCTTGTCTGCTAAATAACTTTTTATATTTGTAATGACCTCATTGTAAGAAAAATTATAATCATTGTTAATAAAAAGTCATCATATTGTCATTTTATTGCCTTGTGTATGTGAGGTGTTTGGCATATTTGTGAAATATAAATTAACTACAGGATATTTAAGATCTAGAGAGCATGCTGTTGAAATTTCAACAGGCATGTCAGAAATGCCTCCTTGCCAAATAAAATATGTAAATTATTTGCAGAATATTGAAGATCTAAAAAGCATGCTGTTGAAATTTCAACAGGCCTGTCAGAAATGCCTCCTTGCCAAATGAAAAAATGTCATGATTTTTTATGCTATGTAGTCTACATAGTTATATTTTAAGCCTGTTGGACAGTTTTCTCCCTTATTTTAAGCATGACAGGTAAAATAAATTTTCAAACCAGTAAAGCAATCCTTTTACTCGTCAAATTTTCATGAATTCCATTCAGTTTTACACAGTATTAAGAGGTACTACAGGCTGTAAATGTTACCGGTTGCTGCCTGAAAAGGAGAACACCGCTTGGAGCATCTCCCTGATGATGGATATGTGTCTAAAACAATAATTTAAAGTTTACTTTGGCTAGTAATTGTTTCAGTTCTTATGATAATAATTTTTCTTATATTTTCTTATATTTTCTTCGTCAGGAAGACTGGCCAGAAGGTCACAAGCTGGCAGCAGCTATGAATTTCAAGTTTATGCAAGTGGTTAGTTTATTTTTTTAGCATAAATAGAAACTTCCGTGATTTGGTGACTGGTATCTGTTTAGTTGTATAAGGAAGTTTCTTAACTTGTATGGAGAATGTTATAGGCCACATTAAAAATTTTTTAACAAAAGGAAAAATGTGCATCATCTCCCATGTGCATGTGACAAAAAGATTTTTATGGGTTCCCATAAGAATTGAAGTTCATACCTTCTGATTGTGTGGTAGAGAAATTATTGGTGGGTAACACCATATGAGATTGTTTCCTAAAATAAAAAGGGTGTCAATGAACAATGGTTACTAGCAGTCTACTATCGCCTTTAAGACCCTTCACTGCTGTCTGTTAACCCTTTCATTCCCAGTCATGACCAAGACAGAATTTCTCCTTACAATACTAATACAATCTCACATAGACAAGTGATGAGAAGGTAGAAAAATATCAAATAGTGGATTATCATTTGATTCAATACCAAATTCTCCAAACTAAAATTATAAGCAATGTATGGCAGACTGTAAGGAGAATTACTAAGAGATCTTGGAAGTGAAAGGGTTAAATGGACTCTTAAGTAGGGTTAAGCCTGCGAGCAGGATCTTGTGTCTGGATCCTGCCTTATGGCACAGCCATCTTTTAGACTATCAGCAGCCTTTTCTGAAAGAGGCTATTGATGCCAAACATCCACAAAATTTTGTTAACTTAGATGCCAACAGCATTAAAAGACTTGATACCAAATGCAAGCCCTGAAGCCATTCAACTTATGAGGGACATGATGATGTGGGATCCCAAGAAGCGACCTACATGTGCGCAGGCTCTTAGATACCCCTACTTTCAAGTTGGCCAGAACTTACCTAAGCCCTCCCAACCAACACAACCTCTTCAGCAAAGACAGCCACCCCAACCACAACCACAACAACAAGCACAACAACAAAGACAAGCACCACAAGTGGAAAGAAAGGATTCATTTAATTTTGGAAGTGGTAATGAGAACAAAAGGGCTGCTGTCAATGTTCAAGGCCATGCCAGTGGCTATGGGAGTGCTCGGAAGAGATGGGGAGAAGGGACTGGGGTGAAAGATAGTGTTGATGAGTTTGAATCACTGCTCAGTGAGATTGACACAAGTCATGGATCTGCTACGAAGAAGGTTGGTAAAAATTATTATATCTCAGTCCTATAACTCCAAAGATCTGATTGTTAATTCTCCCCTCTAGCTGTTACACATTTCTTAGTAAATTAGTTTAGAGAATATGGTGTCAGATCAAGATAACAACTTCTGCCTGATAAGTTTGGGTATTCTCATCACCTGTTTGCTGGGAAGAGTATGGATGTTATAGGAGGAAGTTGCATGAAGATTCACATATTTGCACTGCAGTGGAAAGATGAAATTAGGAGATCCTCGCAGCTAAGAACACTACTGAACGAGTAGTTGTAAGAATCTTCATTCACTTGGATGTTTATTTGGACCCAATTCATTGACCAGCTCCCAGTTGGCTTGTTAGCTCAATTGGTAGAGCGCTGCACCGGTATCGCAGAGGTCATGGGTTCAAATCCCGTACGGGCCTGAAATTTTTTCAGGTCCTACTTACAACTACTTGTTTCAGTAGTGTTCTTAGCTGCGAGGATCTCCTAATTTCAGGAAGTTACATGTTAATCACCTCTGGGAGTTAAGGGGTTAAGGGTTTATAGTCTGCATGTGCGACTGTGAAATTGAAAGGTGTAAGCCCAGTTTTTAAGGTCAGAACAGGGTTTTGTCGTCAATATATGTAAGCTTGGCAAAATGAATAGCTCATTTTACAGTTGTGTATTCAGTAGCCAAACCTTTGACTTGTAGTGAGGCTGAGGGTGACCTTGTTGTGATAGAGACCAGTATCTAGTCAGTATGATAACAAAGTAATTTATATTTGAAAAGCAGAAACGTTTGTATCATAACAAGGTCACCCTTAGCCTCACTCCTGTTCAAAGGCTTGGCAACCAAGCATGCAACTGTGAAATGGACCATTGTTTCTTTACTCTGCAGCAGGTCTGGAATTGATTGGGTTAGCTAACTTTGAAATGTTTTGTGAGGAGAGATTAAAAAATATTGTATTGCATCTGAGAACCAGTCCAGGGAAGAGGTTGGCTGTGATGAGGCTAATGATGACCCAAATTGGAACATCTGTCATGAAATTAACTTAGTATACATACATCATATGTATTTAGGGAGAATTCTTTTCGATTTAGTCAATTTTAGGCGGTACTAAACGTATGAAATCGAGTTATGACTAGACCCTGTGAGCAGGGTAACTGGGATACCTGGATGGTACTGGATTGTTGGGATCAAGTGTAGTGATACTACGGGTGTTGAACTAATGTACTAAATCACATTGAACTGAGTTTCTATGGACTTGCTTATTAGCTTGGATTTGTGATATGATCTTATCTTTGTCTGCAGGATCCAGTGTTTTATACCATTCTGCTCTACCACACAAAAGTTTTTCTTTTTCTTCAGGATTCAATGACTTATACCATTCTGCTCTTTTTTGTTTTTGTGCAAAATTTAGCAAAATAAACCATTGTGCTCTCTTACGTTTTTGTACACAAAAAAACACAGGATTTGGATCATGTGTTTATTAAAAAAGAATATCCATACAACTACAATGAAAACAAACATAAGATTCACCTTTCCTATCGTGAAATTAATACCATTGGTATTGTTATCGTAGCTACGTTCCTTAGCATCAAGTGAATCCAACTTGGCGTCTTTCTTCACAAGTAATTTGCATCCAATAGAGTTTTGTTCTTCAGTCTCACGGTAGTGGTGTTGTTCAATAGATTGCATAGAGTATATGCAGTGTGGTTTCAGATTTAAGATTTTGCTTTTTTCAACAAGTGTGTGTTATTCTACTAAGATATTGGCATACTTAGCATACAAGGCTTTCCTGACTTTCAAGCGTTCGCGTTTCAATCCGTTCCAAAAATACCGCACAATAACATTTTTTAGTGTGGATTGGCCTTGAACAATACGACTTGTGTGTGCGTCTGTAAGTATTTTGAGCGTTTGCACCATAAAGCTCCAGGTAATCGTAAACTAAAAACGTTGCACCTCCATCACCAAAACAACAATCCCAGAACAAATTAAAAGTGGCTGACATAAGAGTTTTATAGACAAAAATCTCGTGTTTCGTCGTGTGACCCGGTCCTGTCCGTGCATGACAACGTCAATCATCATCAAGATAACAGTTAGTTGTCATGGTGTTAAGGGCCCAATGACTACTGGGTACTATTACGCAATTTTTCTATTTTGTGGCGGAGGAAAAAAAAAAGACGACTAAAAAACAAAGGCGTTTTATGACACAGGTATCCCAGTAATAATGTCAATGTCTTTACTTTGCTCTTGTAGGTAGCTGTTCAAAAGACAGACCCCCTTGACTCCTTTTCCAGGTCAGTTCTTCATATGTTTGTCGAAATTTGTAACTTCATTGAACGCCTCTTTGCCTACGTGAGAAAGTTCGCGCTTCAGTGCTAGCCTGCGGAGTTAAGCCTCTGGAAACATTTGCGCAATAATAGTGTAATTAAGCCCGCGTTAAACTTGGCCTTCCGTTTCTTCTTTTTCCCTCTTTGAACAATACAGCGGTCAAACGTTGGGCATGCGCAAATGGGTCGATTTTGGCCGGACGCGCACCAAATCTTAAAGGAAACATAAGAAAATTAACAGACTTAAATTTTGCAACAATTAGAAAAAAAATTATAGACGAGGTATCGAAAGGTTTTAGAAAAAATTCTAACTTTTCTCTCTCAAATTTCTCATTTCTCAGTGTCCGGAAGGATTCGGGTGTCGCTAAGAAGACCCCTCCCAGTGCAAAACAACATTACATGAAACAGGCCAGATATTTTCCTGGTCAAACAACAACCAATCAGCCCCGGGTGCTTCATAATCCGGCGGCATCCACGTATCCAAGGAAACCTTCCTACGGAATGACGGGGAATGCCGTAGGAGGTACTACATATGTTCCATCCTTTGCCGGGGGTGGACAAACCAGAGCTGGAGGTGTAGGAGGTAAGTAATTTTCTCAGCCTTTATGCAGCCGATCCCGCCCTCAAATTGGGAGGTCTGTGACTTTTTCTTTGAGGGGAGGTGGTGGCTTTACATAGGATATAATCTCCCGGAAAATCTCCAATAGGGGCGTATTCATGTATATTAATGATTATTGATCGAGTTTTTTACCTATGTTTTTTTTAACTCGTATTTTTATTCTCATTCGTTTCTTTGCAGTTTTCAGTGCTTCTACGTGGAAGCCACCACCGCTGACCAAGCAAGGAAGTGGCACATCTATTTACCAGCCTCCCGGGGCTACGACAACCAATCGAACCCAGCCCGCCCGCTACGGCGGAGTGCACAATCGAACAAACTGGAGTGTAAAGTGAGTTTTATTTCCGTCATAAACAGGCTTGCAAAATATGCGAATGATTGGCCTTTTGTTCAGGGGACAAAAATTTAATAGAGGGTATTTCAATCGAGTTATCAGAACGGCCAATCAAAATATAGGAAAATATCCGCGATAAGTCAATGAGAACTCGAAGTAAAAATTGCCTTAAACGCGGGAAAACGTACCAAGGCGCGTTTAGTTTTAGCTTTGATTGGTTGAGAACGTAGCGCGAGTTTTTCTTTTAACCAATCATAAGGCATGGTCTAGGAAACTCGCGCCGCCCTCTCAAACGTTTGTGACTCGACGTAACGAGTATTTCCGCGCTTCAGGGGGTTCGCTTGTTTTTATTTCGAGATCTCATTGACTGTTTTAATTTCTTTAGTTTAGGTCGCACGACTCTCAATCGTAAAGCTCTTTGGTGGAGTTCTACAGTAATTTCAATAAACAATTTATTTTCTCCACGTATCAGCATAAAACATATTCATTTCTTCTTTATAGATATGGAGGAGGTCACGCATAGAGGAGAATGTCAATAAGGTCTGTTCGCATTGTGGACACGTGTTGGTGTTGAATTTGTAATATTTGACCTGATACGAAAGAACATACCATTCCCGGAGAGTTTTTTCATGTTGATCAACACTGTTCATAAACTGTATAAGTAGCAAGTAAATGAGTCAATTATATAAATAATTTGAGTCAAAACTGACGTTCGTTGTAAATATAGTTTTTCTTTCGTGTAATGGTTTAATAAACAATTTTGTCATCTTACTGTTAAATAGTTCCAATAATTCCGCATACAATGTATGGTGTAGATATTAGAATTAACTTTTAAACCAACTAGGCTCTAGGTCAAATTAGGTTGATCGAGTGTAACTGGTGTTAAATCAGAGATTTACGTGTCTATGTTATATAGCTGGGTGTTTTAAAATGTCTCGAAAACCTGTGCGCACAATGTTAAGGGGAGGGTTTTTTTGGCGGTCTTTGCCCTGAATTTTCATTGGAGACTCTGTAACTTCATTAGAGAACTGTAACATTAAATGAGCTTCGGTAAATTTCCCAAAAAAACCTATGTTGATAAAATTTTACTGTGTGGCTCGGAATAGGTAAGGAAAGTGTACACGTGATTTTTACATATCTGTATGTAAAAATAATTCAGTTTGTTTTATTTATTTTATTTATTAAATTTTTAGTCATACAGAATAGTTAATAAAGAATGGAACAAATTTAAATGGAAATTCGGTCACAGCAGTAAGAGACCTTGAGAGATGAAATATACTGGTCACTCGTACTTCTGCCGTGCCGAACTTAATTGCAGTAGGTTCGGCTATAGCACGACAGAAGCACGAGTTTGATTCAGACTTCGCGTTGGACTCGGATGGCGCGACTCTGCTTGTCGAGTTACCCAATTTTGGCGCGATGTCGGATTCAAACGTCGAGCCACTGTCGTGCTAAATGTCGAAATTAATTTATTTATTGAGTCGATACGACGAGCGAAAGGGTTGGAAATGGGCCTCATCTCCATTGACATGTCAACATTAAGCTTTTGGGGGAAAAAAATTTCACTATCAAATGGGTTTTGAATCGCAACGTAATTATCAACAAATGCTCTCTTCCTTTTTTTTGTTTTTTGTTTTTGCAAAGTGAGAATTAAGAGGATAGGGAAGAGCGGAATTAGTTGCTTGAGCAATAGAAAAACATACAAAAGTGCATACTTATGAGGATTTATTTTAAACTGGTTTAAGAATAGGTAGCCTCTCAAAATTTCATCCACACCCCGGCTTTAAAACATCAGTAAAGTTGAACATGAATTTGTGAATTCTCAAAATTAACACCAACATCGATAAAACAGTAGAAAATGAATAAGAGGCTTTGCTGCTATACTCCAGTTTAACACCGAGCTACAAATTGCCCATTTAATGACTTCCTTTCAGAATATGGTTGCAATTTCCATAGCGCAAATTGTCTTTATGTTTGCGATGGTTTTTCCGAGTTTAAATCAAGATCATCCCGAGTAAAAAACGTTATTTCAGTTAAAACAGTAATTTCAGTGGCTTCGTGGAAACTTTCTGTAGGAATATAGCGTGTTCTTTTTTTTCCCATCTTCACCACCATTTTTAACCCAAACGCGAATGTCTGAGCTAATGCGTTTTTTAAATTTGCCTACGGTAATGTATTTCACTCATTAAGGTAAAGTGTTCCTGCTTTCTACAATTGCTCCCGAGGAAGAGCGAGTTGCCACTTAACCTCTCCAATAGACACGACGTTGCCATGCCAACGTTAGGCCGGAGCTGGATGATAGAAAACACCTGTAATTTTTTGGTATTTTTTTTTCTGGCTCTGAAATTAAATATATGTCAACTGAACAGTTCACCACATATATGTCAAATTTTCTTTCATTAAGATCCTTGAAACCTCTTCATCAAAGTATTGATTCCAATATATGAATGCACTACCTTGACGATGCACTTCTTTTCCGCCAAAGACATCTTTGAATCAAGTATTTTGCAATTAAAATTCGGAAAGCACTGAGGATACAGTTTTCCAGCGAAGCACCTGCGTAGCTTGCTGTTAATTCCGGCAGATATAAAATTGATGTTCGATGCGTTGAAGTTTGATCGCTGACTGGGATCGCGTATCAGGGAACGTTATGTCAGCATAGTGTATTTACATTACATTAACATCAAGTGATGGCGCATTTATACTCAGGGCGGCAAATTCGTGCCTCAAGGCCGGCGAAACAGGAAGCCGAATTCCAGTCTTATCCGAGAAGTTTCCCGCAATTTGATCTAAACAGCCGAGCGGTAAAATTACCGCCAATTATAAAAAATGAACTTCTCGTTGGTCGAAGCATAGGAAATTCGTCAACGATTTCTACGACATCAAACACAAACGGGCATACATCTTTCCCAAAAATTCTCAAGGCTCAGAATTCGAAAACCACGAATGGAACAGTACCACGACCACAGAAAACGAAGAGTCCTCGCGTTACAGTAAAACACGTAGAGAAAGCACCGACCAATTATCCGAATTCTTACAAAGTTCTTCCTCCTATTGGACAGACAAATGTGTGGCATACTTCTCGGAGTATCTTACACGCTCCAAAATCCGACCAAGACAAAATTAACGGTCCGAGGAGAAGTTCATTACAGAGAAAACGCTCAGACAGCGGACTGTCTCCTTCACCGAAAACTAGACTCGCCGAAAACCAACGGATTGCAGCGAGAAATAACGCTACAAGACAAGAGCATGGTAACGACACACAAGGAACGTTCGAGAGTCGAATCGAACGGCCTACTATGGAAACGTTTGGTGCAGTTCCTGAAAAACAGGGGGATCATTATAATCACGAGGAGACATTGCCGAGCGTTTCTAACGAAGATGTTGAAGTTACATCGTGTGAGGTTGTGCATGAATTGGAAAGACTAGAGCTGAGTAAAGAGGCTGTTGAATTCCTGGCAAGTAAGCAAAGCGCTCGGCGAGTTGCACTGTGTGTCGAGATTGATCCATCGTTGAAAAAAGCTGTCGATATAATTCGAGATAATTTACTTCGCCAAACAATGGAGGAACTCTGCATGTTATGGTGAAAATGTTCTAAGCCAAAAAAATTGTAAATAGATTTACCAGCAGGAATTCTGCTGTTGGATTGACGAAGTTAAATGGGTGAGATGTTTTTGGAAATTAAAAGAAAAAAATAAATCAGTTTTGTTATGAACTGACCTAAATAATGACACTTAGCTTTTTTATTTACGTGAAGGATAATTTGTTGGTCATTTTTTCCATTAAAATGTTTACCTCCGGTCCCTGTATTTCAGCTGTAACAGCAATTATAAATATAACGTGTAAAACAAATAAGATATAAGTCGAAAATTTTTATGTGGTTTCTAGGTGGGGAAAACACATTAACATGTATAAAAAGATTTGACCAGTTTGGAAACTTAGTCGATTTCGTCGGTAGGGGAAGTTCGACATAATTTAAGTTCAGCATCGATTTTTTAATACAATAATGTTTTTGGAGGGTGGTTACTACTTTAAATTTTAGATAAGTCAGCAAGAATCGATTTCACATTTAAAGCAAGATTAGGCGAAGGATCACGAGTAAGTCTAGTGTTTGACTAGTCTTGATTCTCTACATAAATTTACTGCCTCTAAGAACGACCGCAAATCATGAATTATTCACTGTTTAATGGCAGTCAATTTTATTTTATTTCGAGCCATGTATGCTGAAAATACTGAATACGAAACCATACACAAAATCCTACGTTTTGATCTTAAATGCGCTAAGATTCTATCGATCTTATCTATGATAAATTTATGCGGAAAAGGTTTATGCTATTCCACTTAATGAATTTCCGACGGAAAGATTTTTCTGAAATAGACAAATTGAAAATAAGACAAAAGGAAAAAAAATAATTCAAATTTTCAACCTGCGCTAATAATTTCTCTTTCTCAATTGTGACATACCATTTAACTAGGGCAAATCAGTGATTGACGTATCCACACGTCGGGTTGTAGTTTTGCCAATCAATCGCTAAATTTAATTTAGTTATAATTAATTTGCCTCGATATCAATGCAGCTTTACTTTCATAAAGTCTTAAGCGACGGCACATTTGTAATTCTAAGTGTTTGTATTTTCCAATGTCAGTTCTTACGCTGAAAACTTAACTTTTTTAGATTTTAGAATCGGAGTTTTTAAACGTCAGTTCTGACATTTAAAACTGCACGTTTTCAGATTAGGAATCGGCGTTTCTTACGGTGCAGTTCTGTGCAACTCTGAATTAAACATCTTCGCACAAGAAATTTGAAGTAATCTAAGTACGTTTGATTGTCAAAGTTTCCTATTTTCAAATGCCAGTTCTCAAGTTTAAAAGTTTGCATTTCAATTTTGAGAAAATTCCCCTGCATCCAACATTTTCCTTCAGGTTTTTCAGGAGAATGTTCAGGTTAATGGCTTGGTTAAAATCACTTAGAGCTCGTAAGGAAAATTCTCAAAAACTCCTCGACATTTCGAAGGATTCTTAAGGAGCTTTTTAAACGTCTTAAAAAAAATAAACACTGTAACTGCTATTTTTGAAGTCGATAAAGATCGGATCCAATCGCTCTGACGAAAGGACTAACGCTCGAAACGTCAGCTTTTAAACTCTTTACGGTGGCCAATTTATGTTATCAACTCAGTTGATAATGCTAAATTACCCTGTTCTACTCTCCCACCGACGTAGCACCACAGTTTCTTTAAAAAGCGTTAGCCCTTCGTCAGAGCGGTCGGAGGAATTATGGGTTGTAAATGTCTTTTTAAAGCGATACCGTGAGAATCAAGAGTGTCGATTTTAAAGATAAATTTGTTCTCGAGTTTTGCGGCTTTCCGAACTGCCTAGATGTAGGGAAAGGCTACACACTGCCATATGCTGTTTAGAGTGATTATAGAGATTAAATTATCTAGCGACTGGTTTGGATGCGTGCTTGTTTGGCGATTTTTCGCGACTTTAATTTCCTTGGCCAAAACAAACTTATTTTCACTATGGATGTTACATCTCTTTATACTGTCATTCCCAATGACAAAGGTCTCCAGGCCCTCAAACCTTTTTTCTGATCAACGCGCTATCAAGGAATCTAGCTCTGAAACACTACTCTGTCTAGCCGAACCAGTCCTAACGCTCAATTGCTTTTCATTCGTTGGCAACTACTACAAACAAACTAATGGTGTAGCCATGGGTACTAAAATGGTAGATTTTATCAAACACCAGTTTTTTGGTCAATACAACGGCCCCAAACCTGAACTCTACGGTCGCTCATCGATGACTGCATCGGCACTATACCTCCTCTACCAGAGAGGAGCTCACTCAATTTAAAACCGCCGTCAATTCCTTTCGCCCGGCTCTGAAATATACCTGGAAATTTCCCGGCACTTTTTTAGCTTTTTTAGACAAGGCAACGGTCTATGCACTAGTGTTTACTACAAACCTACAGATTCACATAGTTACTTGTTGTACTCATCTTTGCATCTGATCACACGTCAAGAATTCCATACTTTTTTCACAGTTTCTCAGACTTTGTCGTTTATGTAGTGACGACTCTAATTTTTCCGGAAAATCAGAGGTAATGTGCTTATTTTTTAAATAAACGTGGCTATCTTGTTTATGCCGTTCAAGCGGGCCACCACCGCGCCCAACAAATTGATCGACAGTCAGCACCACAAACGGCTCAGATGGAAAATACTGATCGCACTCCATTCACTCCCACATTTCACCCTCTCAACCACGCAGTTAAATCTATCATTCTTAAGAACTTTAAATTACTTCGAAACGATTCAGAGACTGATACTATCTTTTCACAACCTCCACTAATTTCATTCAAACGCGACAAAAACAGGCAACGTTTTGGTCAGAATACCCAAGGAGAGAAAAGAAAATATCTCAGTCACAAACTTTTATGTTCAATGCTTAACTTTCTGCACTAATCTCTGCAATAGCCGGAGCAGATCTCTTTTTCTGATGGTTCCAGCTTGCGGCGACTCATTAATCTCAGAGCCCATCGAACGCTCGCCATCTCCTCAAATTTAATGACCTATACTAACCCATTCACACCATCAAAACATGTTTAGTTAGACGGGTCTAAATCGTTTAACTGGATGAAAATCAGAATTAAAGAGAGAAATGAAAAACCGAATCAAAATTTCGAGAGGTTTCAAGTAGCCACAAACTTTATCTTCAATGCAATGAATTTGAAGCCGATAAAGATCGCTCTATGAAGAAAATAATTCGATTTAAACCGTGTTTAACAAAACAGCCGTAAACATGATAATCTTTGGTATGAATGGGGTTTCATCATCATCATCATCATCATGCCCTTTACGCCTAACAGGCATGTAGGGCAGCGACGTGTTCCCTCCACATCTGGCGATCCCTTGCCATGAACTTGATGCCCTCCCAGGTCTTCCCCATCTCCTTTATTTCCTTCTCAACTGTCCGTCGCCATGTGATCTTGGGGCGACCCCGCTTGCGTTTCCCTTCTGGCGTCCAATGCATAGCAGTTTTTGCAATGGAAGCTTCTTGGCGGGTGACATGGCCAATCCACCTCCAGCGTCTCCTCATCAGAATGGTAGCCATTGATTCGGTTCCACACCGTTCAAAAAGATCTTTGTTGGAAATGACATTAGGCCAAAAGATGCGTAAAATACGCCGAAGGCTTTTGGTGTGAAAAGTGGAGAGTTTTGATAGATCCTTCTCCGTTAAGCGCCAACATTCTGAGCCATACAGGAGGGTTGTAAGGACGCAGCTATGATAGAGCTTCAGCTTGGTACGAGTACTATAGGTGGAAGAACGCCATACCTTATTCATCATATTGAGCGAATTTCTGGCCTTGTTGAGACGGCTCTGGATGTCCAGTTCAGTTCCTCCATCTCTACTGATGATACTGCCGAGGTAGGTAAATCTGTCTGTGTAAGGAAGCTCTTCGTTATCAATCTGGACTGGTCGTGTGTTGGTAGCGTTCAGTGCCATAATTTCAGTCTTCTTACTGCTGATGTTCAGGCCAACTTGCTTTGCAAAGGTGTTGAGGCGATGCGTCTTCTCTTGTATGTGGGTGTGGGTGTGTGATAGTAAGGCTAGATCGTCTGCGTAGTCCAGGTCTTCCAGGTAGGAGAAAGGTGTCCATCTGATTCCCCTGACCTGATCCTCAGTGGTGCGGTGCATGATCCAGTCCACAACAAGGTTGAAAAGAAATGTAGACATTACACACCCCTGCCTGACACCAGTGTGAACTGAATGGAATGAATGGGGTTTAGGTCATTGATATTTCTCTAACATTTTTTTCTTTCGGTGGAAGGGGAACACTATGAACAGCACGGAAACACATAACAAATCAAAGACAGTACAGAAAAATTCATAAAAAAGCACAAACAAAGAGAGCAGCCATCTTTTCTTTCCGTCGATCGCCATCTGTCGGAACCGAACACAATGTGATGTTCCGTTTGTAGCGAAAGTGTCATTTTTTTTTTAATATTTTGTTTACCACCCGAGAAAATTTAATGACCACAGATTTTTCTTCTGGGCCTAATTGTATAAAGGTCGGATAACGTTATCCAACGGATAAATCGCTATCCAGCAGATAAATGATAGCAAAACATGCTAAATTATCCACCGGATAGAGATTTATTCAGCTGATAGCGTTATCCAACCTTCGAAAAACCGGGACCTGGTCTTAAAGCTGGAGACGTTACTATAAATGTTGTGTGAATAAATTACCTTCAAGAATACATTCGATCGACCTAGAACTATTAACGGAAAATCTGAAAAATGGATCCGATCCAAATTTTCAAAAACATCCCGTGCCCGTGAAATGATTTCTTTGTCCATAATCTCCGCACAGCCTGCAAGCTGCAACCTCACTAGAAGGATAGGTATATTATTTAGGAAGCTGTTGCGGCAAACGAATTTTTAAGACGACGAGATTGTGAAACTTTGCATGCTCACAGGTCAGCCTCACTTCGAAGCTCAATTCAAGAGGTAAGTTGGCAACCTACATGAAGGTAACAAATCTTAATGTTGAAACAAGTAGTTAAATTAAGTAATCCTTCTCTAATAGGATGAAAAACCCAGCATTGGAGTGCAAACTTTAAGCTTCTTGGAATGACCTTGCTCAGTTCACGTTTCATGCCGATTTCGCTGCTTGAGTTTCATTGTCCACAATGTCATAAGGAGGCAGTTTTTTTCGGTTACTTTGTCGATTAGAATAAGAAAAGGTCCATGACAACTTTTTGAAAAAACTATAAATGTTATTCTCCCCGCACTACAGATAACTAAAATTGTTCCATTTTAACACAAAAGTAAAAGAGAATGTGTTAGCCTGAGTCACACTGAGTTGCGATTCACGAATACATAGAAAAAATAAATTGACGTTTACTGAGATATAAACAGTGGTGCACATGGTAAACCAACATATTTTTATATCATATTAAGGGCCTGTCATTTTTTATCGCCTGAGGGGGCTGGAGTATTTTGGTTAAGTTACCTGATTCCTCCATCTACAGCCGCCTCCAGCGAGGGATGTAAACTTCAGGAAATTGAGAAACATCGGACCAGCTCTCAGACTGTAATACTCGCCTACGATGGAGTGGTATCATTACATAACGGCTTGTATTTACATCGTTCTAATTCTCGGCGGCGTGGTCATTAACGGCGGTTTTATTCTGCTCTTCACTTTCTCACGCGAGATTCGAAAAGCAGTCAATCCATTCATGGTAAGCCTCGCTGTATCAGATATTCTGTTTCCTCTTGTGGTTGTGCCTTTTCATCTCCAACATCTGATCTCAGGAACTTGGAAATATGGCGTGCTCGGATGCAAATTAAGAACATTTGCTTATCTAGTGACAGCCTCTGCTTCAATTTTAAGTTTCTGCAGCGTGTCTGTGGCTCGTTTTCTTCGGATCATTTACCCATTCCGCTTCAACATGATTCATGATAAGACTGTCTGGACAACAGCTCTATTACTGTGGTTATATTCCTTTGGTTCATCAGCCTTTGTCTTTGCTGCTGACACTTTTCAGAGGTCACAAATTCAGAAGCATTCATCCTGCTTTCATTTTCTGCCGATAGACCTGTTTATCCCGCTATTTTTGCTGAATTACTGTGCACCTTTACTTGTGATGCTCAGTATTTACGGTTGTATCTTAAAACTCTCCTGGCGTCACCGTAAACAGATTAGCCACACAAGGGTTAGTCCTGCGAATTTAGCTACGAATAGCCGAGCTAAAAAGGCTTCCAAGCAGCTTGTTACAGTTTTTCTTTTGTTATCTTACTTTGGTGAGTGGTGGCTGCCTATTTCAGGACTCAGCCTCAGGTTGAAAACGCAGTACAATTCTGAGCTGGATTGGCCTCGTTGGACAGCACCTGTGTATCAGTTTTTAAGCATCTCGGTTTTCTTAAATTCTGTTGTGAACCCCTTCGTGTATGGATACAGCAATACTCATTTAAAAGCTACATTGAGGCACCTCATTCGCAAAAGATCATCGAAAGGAAATCTGCTCTCGACACAACTTACCACTTTCGTTGTTCCATCCCATTTGCCCTCGTCCCAGCCTCAACCAAAAGCCTAACCCAAACCCCAAACCCCAATCCCAACCTCAACTCAAACCGCAACTGCTCACAACAGAGAAAGTCTGCAGAGAAAGTCAGTCGAACAATGGCGAACACGACAACTTCAAGGTACACTCTTAACCTATATGCACCACGTTAAAAACGTTTTCCAAAGAGTTCGTTTGCAAAATTTATAGGAATATCACTTAATTAAAGAACGGTGTTATCATTTTGCACCAACATATGGCAAAGAAAATGCCTGAGTTTTCCATGAGGATCGGACCTCTGGATTTCCTGGTCTGACACATTATAACTAAGCTACAGAGATCCCGTTGGCAAACGGTTGGAACGTCGCTCAATTCATTTACTTCTGACAGCTTACTTAACCCTAAAACTCGTAACTGCGACCAGCATCTAATTTCTCCTTACCTTTTCCCTCCTGAATCAAACATTACGGTCACGAGAATAAAGGAAATGACCACCGATCGTAGAAGCTCTTGATTGTTAAACAAATTCTCCTTGTCAGTACTGTGGTAAACGTTTGGAAAACGGTATGGAGAATCTGGGAAGAAAGGGGGAACGAAAACCATAAGCCAGGTGCTCAAACGGCTGGAACGGACAAAAATAATCAATTACATAGAGTGCAAATTACACAGGAACCGCATTAGGCTTTAAATAGTTCGGTAATAAATGAAGATTGAAATTTCAATCAGTCTAACCTGCTTAGTGATCTTTAAAAAAAAAAACTATCACAAAGACTGCGAAGGTACGTGTTATTGAACGTTGCCTTAGTGCAAAACGGCGAAGATTGCCTTTTCAGTGTATGTTCCCTGTCTTCGACAAAAACACTTCTTCAGATCCCATATTTTACTGCCTACGAAGCAAACAAGCCAAACAAAATCTAGAGCAAATTTCGTCAATCGATTTTGTTCGCGCAAATAGCGTTGCTCCAATTAGAAACCCCGACCAACAAGGCTTCACTTCAGTGAGAAGCTCAAGCACGTGGCTAATTTCCATATCTGACTACTACGACCACTCTCTAGCGAATTTTTTTACGTGGTCTGCCACAGGCATCCCACGTAATTAGTTAATTTCTGTACACAGGGGTACAGGGAGGTACAAGGGGCATGTTAAATGCTATTTTGTTAGTAGGTGTCAAGTAAGAAAATGCTAGAAAACACAAGACAGGGGAGTCAGAGAACCTAAGTAACCTAAGGTAAGTGTTTATTGCCTGGGGGGAAGGGAGAGGGAACGGAAGATACGGACTATATGGTTTAAGTGCGGAACGGGGGGGGGGGGTATCAGTCGTCGCCAACAGAGTATACCTGAGGGGGACCGTAGAGGATTGATTGTCAATTAACTGACAATTAAGAGAGGATCATAAGAATGCTACAGAGCCTTGTGTGTGTGTGGGGGGAATCAGGTTTATTTTATTGTGACACAACGAAAATCCTACCCCCCCCCCTCCTTCCCCTCTCCCCACAGGCAATAAATAATGACGGGTCGCTCAATACGACTTTCACTTCCATTGTTTTTACAGCAAAACAAAACAAAACGGCTGCTCGAAAAGATGGAACATATGTCTTCCTTTTTTTGCGCCACAAAACTATAGAATTTCCGAACTTCTAATTGCTGCTTTCAGCTTCATTCTACTTCTCAGGATACATGGCTTGCAAGCAGCTGTGGAGAATAACAAGGAGCCAATCACAGTTTTCACGCCAGAAAGGGCAAAAAAGATTTCTCATTAAAAATTGAGATAAAAAAGTGTTGATTTTGATGGCAACTGGCACCATGTCTGAAATAAACACTTTTTTCATCATTCGATCCCTAGTCGTTTCAAGAAGTCTCAATGCAGTGATGGCTCTTAGATGTAACGCTTAATATTCTTTCCTTTGCGATTAAAAAAACTATTTCCACCTTTCACCTTTTCTACGACTTATCAATCGTTACGCCTAACGGCTAAATTTTTCTGCCGTTTTACAGTTAACGGTTTACCCAATTGAAACCCTCTTACGATGATATAAACGAAAGCAAATCGACGAAAATGTTTTACCAATATTCTTTTCTACTATTTTTCGCTATCACCGACATTCACTGCTATGGGGTAACAACTCTCGTGTAAGTCTGTTAGACATTTTTATTTCATATCTTTTGAGGTTCCGTAAATTGGTTTTTACTGAAGAATAGGGTTATTTTAGCTCTTGTAAGTAGAATTGTCTCTGTTGCTAGATAACAGATTTTGGTATTAGCCATTCGTTGTGAAAATGATGCATTTAATCATATTTGCGGCATTTCATTACTCTCAATGCTTTCATTTCAAACGATTACAGAAAAATCGGTACCTATTGGAAATTTTTAGGCTAAAATAGGTTTTTTTTTGGTCAAGAAGTGACCTAGTGCTTTTATAAACTTGTAGAATAACATGTTCTTCAAATCTTTTTCCATCATCTGTAAAAGATTAAAGTAAAGATCAAAACCGGAGCTCGCTAACCAGGGTGAAATTTTTCACATCAGTCCTCAGACGATAGACAGTTACCCCATTTACCGGAAAGGCTAAGAATTCTTTCTAATTCTCAGGAACGCTGTTAATCAGAATTTCGACTGCCATGGAAACCAGAGAAGTTGAGGTTCACATTTTATTTACATATTAACATCAAGGATTCTTGAAACATTAAAAGTTTTATGTTACAAAAATTTTAAAATGGAAACCAATTGAAGTTAATCTTCAGAAGTGAATTCACAGGTTTAAATAGTCTATTTGCAAATGTTTCCAAAAGTTTGTCGCAATTCCATGAATAAATATGACTTAGCTTTTAGTCCTGCAGACGTGATACTTCTTTTATATCTCAGTTATATTTGAGTCCGAAAGCTTCATCGTTTCAAGTAATATTTAGCCAAGTTCGGTGTCATTATAGCACTAATTCACCTTTCCCTAAGACATTTTTCCTTCAATAAAGCGCCTTTAACCAAAAAAGGTTAATTCAGTGTCAATCTATTTCAACGCTTCAACCGGCATATATTTCGTCTATTTGCTTGGTACGTTAAGAGAAGTAAAACCATATGTAAGCGGTAAAATGTTATTGGATCTATTTAAATAGGAAATGTTCTTTTCCTTCTTTGAGTACGATTTGCAATCGCTTCAATTTGTTTTGCATAGTTTTTCCATCATCAAGGAAAATCCTCAAACCTTTTTTCAATTCATGGCCAGAGAGCGAACCAACAAAGATGGAAAAACGTAATAAATAGGCTGGCAAAGGAGATTCTCAAAATTGTCGAATTTTCATCAGTTGTTATGGTAATCCCAAGCTTTTGACTTTTTAATCAGTATGAAAGACAGAAAATAACCGAGATGCGACGAAGCAAAGGCTTTGAAAACTTTCACGTTTCACACGGCCTGTGATGCAAGAAACGTGACCGGTAGGATGTTTTTCTCGACCGATTTTCACTACTCTTAGAGTGAATTTAGATCCTGTCCTCACTGCTGCGTTAAACTGTAAACAAATACAGCTTTCACGAAATTAAACTTACACCTGCCCATTTGAAACTCAGTTGTCAAGTGCACACTGCTAAATTAGGTACATTTCTTCCATATTTCTGCGAAGAAAGATTTCTTTTAGCTGTTCAGTTATGTTGATTAAAGCCGGTTCATTTTCCACACAAACGCCGACCCTTCGACCTTTACGTTTTCCCTTTAAAAACAACAGCGTCGTAGGGCTCTGTTTTCTTTCTCCAGTCTCGTTATCCTGATTGTCTGTTTTCTGTTTCTTTCTGGAAGACGAGTCTTTTCCCGCTTCAACGCGGGAACGATTTTTGTCGCCGTTTTTGCCATTACTGTTGCCAACTTTTCGCGGGTCATCGCTTTTTTGATTATCACTTTGCGAGCTATTATCCCCAATTGGTTTATTAGTAACATTTAAATTGTTGTTCTCTTTTTCCCCGCGAGAAGTTCTGTCTTGTGCCGCAGTTACCTGCCTTCCTCTATCGACCGGCTCTTTGAGTTTCTGAATCGGAGGTAGAACAGAGTACGACTGCGGAAGCTGATGTCGGCGCGGTGCAAAATCTAACTTCGAATCGCCGTATTTCTCGTCGATCGCTGCATTTGAAGCGAGTCTCTGTGTCGATACACTCGATATGTTGTGACTAATATGAGGACTTCTGTATCGTCCTGGGAATGGATCCTTCGGGATGTGAATTACTGCTCGTGGTTTAACTGATGCGCCATGATTCGGCAAGGCAACCGCATTGGCTCGCGCTTGATCTTGTTGCCAAGTTGGCCTTGGTGGTTGCCGAAGAATACTCGCCGCCGGAACAGCGCCTTGAATCGGTGGAAGTTTAAAATTTCGACTGGAGTTCAATGATTTTTCCATTTCCATGGGTGTTGATATCCATTTGCGCTCGAAGTGAACATACAACACGCTGGGGATCGTTTAACTCATCTGCTTTTGGTGGAAAGTCTGCCAACCACAGCACAGCGTCTGTAGAAGTGACATTTTACTAAACCACGCTATCGAACGAAAAATGTTATTGATTTAAACAACACCACGATTCACGTTAAGTCCCAAGCGACGGGCGGCGAAAAACTAAAGCATTTTAACAGCTATTTTTCCCAGCTGTGCCGTTTCCTTTGTGAAAAGCTGCTAACGCTTCGTGAGAATTTCTTGTAATGCCGCAGAGTATATGAACCGAAGTTTCCAATGTGGTCAGCGTGCGAGCAACGAGGACTCGAGCATCTACAACGCGCGCGATGACAACCTTTACGCGTTTTTTCTATCTACCTTGTTTTCACAGTTCCTTAACATCAGATAAAACAGGATTTATCATTTCAAATGATTGAGTACACTGCTAATTGAAAACTTAATTCGGAGCAATAGAGAATGATGAAGAAAAACCGATTGTACGGAATTTGAAACGAGGACTTAAAAGATCGATCCCGCAAAGTTGCTCAAACGAAGATTCGTGCAAGCGACGCGAAAACTTTGTTGCAGTAACTAAAACCCTTTTGCAACATAAAAGGATAATACTTCTTTTGACTGGCGTTCGGATTTTCGTATATCGACTGTCGTCGTGAATGATGTCATGTTGACATGATAATTTATCATGTAATAAGAGTACTGTCAAATGGGGCGGCTGTTTTTGTTGGCGATAAGTACTTGATGTTTTTGCATATTCATCTAATATCCACTCCATAATCTGCCACAAAAAAATAACTGGCTATATTGCGTTTAAGCGCCTTTAATCAAAACAGCTTGTATGGTTTCAAAGTTTTGACGGAATTTGAATATTTACAATTCACCTGTACCACATCGTGCAAAGCGAAAGTAAGGCCAAACGAAGGCGAAATCATTAAACCTAATGGCGCAGGCAGCAAGATAATCGTGCAGTGGAAATGGGAAACAGGCATGCGGTTCGCAGGTGCGATCCACCATTCTAAAGGGATCGGTTACATCAAGAACAACAGGAAGTCTAGTTCTTACGTCGTTACATTTGCCTTACGTTTTTTTTTTCCCATTTTACGACGCAAACTGTTGATGAAACGCGTAAAATTGAAAACAGAACCTGTTTCAACAAACGTCATAAATCTAGCGTTGTCGCTGACACTGTTTTCTGGCACCTAAATAACGATTGCCAAACAAGATTAATTAGAAATTTGAAAGAAAGGCTATTATGTTAAAGCAAGTTTGTTTATCGTTAGCATTTTCATTTAATCATTTTACAGCTGCAGTCATTGCTGTGCTAAAAATATACTATGCTCTTCCCATCTTTTTTTCTTCAAATGAAATCCCATATTTCCTCGAATAAGCGCCCGGAGTGCCTATTTAAAATTTCTGCTAAAGGAAGGGGCGCTTACTGGAAGGAGGGCAGTTAATCGAGGAGGGCGCCTGTGAAGAAACTTTTAACCTGTATTGATTCCGCTGTAATTGAAGCTTACAAATTTATAACTAAAGTGGCAATATTAGCAGGTTTCATTGTATCCCTACTATTTAGACAGTGAGAGAGGAGGGGAAGTTTATTCCACGGGGCTGGGAAGGCCCTTCACTGGGAGCGTGGGCGCTTATTCGAGGAAACGCGGTCTATTGGTCCGGCAGAACGGAATAAAGTTTTGTCTAAAAAATAAATGGTCACAAAGGCACTTCATGGCTTTATTTAAGCATAAAAAGTGACGATTTAAACCAATAGTTACATAAACATAAGTAAATGATAAATTTAAGAATGAACCAGACTTCACGGCAGGTATAATTTCAGTCACTTTGAGAAAAGTGGAAGAGAAAGGTTGTGTTAACTGTCAAGTAGCTGCTTTTGGCTCGCACTGAATTATGTCTCGAGTGTCTCATCTTTTTCCATGAAATATTTCCAGGTGCTATGCGAACTTAATTCATGGGAGGAAGATGGGAAGGAAACTTATAAAGAGTAAATACCGTATTTTATTTCCTCGAATAAGCGCCCACGCTTTGAAAACTGCCCTCCCCCGAAAAGGCGTCCAACCTCTACGCCTGAATATCAAACTAGCGCCCCTATCGAATAAGCAGCCCCATTACTTCTATAAATAATATAGGTACAAGGAAAACCTATATTTATTGCCACTTAATTTTTGACTTGTCATGCTTCATCTCACAGCCGAATCAGTACAGAAGAATAGTTTCTTGAAAAGCACCCCCCTTGCTTAAGCACCTTCCTTCCAATTAGCGCCCATCAATTTAGCCAAAATTTTAGATAGGTGCTTGGGTACTTATTCGAGAAACTATGATATCTTTCAGTTGGATAACACTATGATATTAAAATGGGAAAAAAACCACTCAAAATTCCATAGAAGTAGGGATCAGAGGAGAGTGGGGTTAGTTTCGCAAATCACCTCTTAACAGAAGCAAAAAGATTCCAAAACTTTTTTTTAACGGGCATGCTTATCATCAACCAAGAGAACATAAACTTTAAAATCTCAATGTTGCGTTACGTATATACGTGACGTGTCGGATTGCGTTATGTTCTGACATTGCGTGCGTCTTCTGCGTGACAGCTGCAAAATCGACATGATGCGTCGACTGGGCACGAACATCCACTCTCAGCATCGTGAAAAGTAGCATAGACTCAATATCAAAATTACTCTGAGTCCTCATGGCTGAAGCGACCGTTAATTCGGCTGAAAACCGCACGGAATCTTCAATTTTATTAGAGGAGACAGAAAAGCCATCGACCGAGGGTAGGTGATTTTACTTTTCAACGGAGTTCGATTATTCCGCGTGCGAGGCAGCTGCTCACAAAGTGGCCACCATATTTTTGAAAACAAACTGCTTTCTGTAATGATTGCCTTTAAACAGAACGTGTGATAAATGACTCCTGCAACTCAAAAATGTAATAAAATTTTGATTGTTTTTAGGTTTTTCCGAAGATGTAGTGATTCAAACGATCGAAGAGATGGATCACAACCCTGATTGTTCAGTTTGTTTACAGTCTTGTTTTTATCCTGTAAAACTTCCATGCGGACACATTTTCTGCTTCTTGTGCATCAAAGGAGTCATTTTGCGGAGTAAACGGTGCGCTCTATGCCGTCATTCTCTCAGCGTAGACTACCTGGAGAATCCAACGCTTATCAAAGTTGTAGAAGAAGTTAATAAGAAGGAAAAAGCTGCGAAATCGAAAGAGAAATCTTGCGACGAAAATGACGCGGACGAGTTTGTTTGGTATTACGAGGGTCGTAATGGATGGTGGTCTTATGACGAGAAAACATCGCCTGAATTAGAAAAATCTTTTAAGAGTGGTCAGAGATCTTGTACTTTACTAATCGCTGGGTTTCTGTATGTAATCGACTTTGAAAATATGTTTCAAACACGCAAGAATGAACCTGGTAGAAGGCGAAGAATCAAACGAGATAAGAAGGATGTCGAGAGCAAAGGTGTCGCTGGAATCCGCATTCCAGCCACATCGAGATTAAATCCAACCACTCCTACTCCAACTTTAGACCCCATAGCAACTGATAAAGGAGGTAACACTGAAAACCAACCCGAAAGTGAGCAGTCCTCATCAGAACTGGCAACCAATGACACCACACAGACCTCAGAGGAATCTGCCGAACGGGCTGGAGATACGAGCGATACAGACTCAGTAGCTACTAGGTTAGAAGAAGCATCTATTCAGTAGTTATCTACAGCCTTGACCACCTTACCGTCCTGGTAAGGGATTTTTAACCTATATAAAATTGGTATTGAATGTCGTTGTATGTTTCGCTTGTAGTGAGTACAGACCCTCCCTGCACCCTCTCCCTGGATTCTGGATAGCCTCCCCCCCTTCAGAAGCGGGGTTGATTTGTTCTTGCGTTTTGTCTTTGATAGAGCAGTTTTAGATTTATTGTCATTAATGGTCTGATATCGTTTCTGTTTTATTTCTCTGTGTGAATTATTTAGGGAACTAGTGCTGTCCTTCCAACCATTGAGATGCAAATGTTAAATTAATTGTGACCAACACACTCATCATTTCCTCACTCATATTGTATAAAACTTCTTGTCTATCTTCTTCTGATGTTTGCTCTGATTGGCTGTCATGATTACTTTGGCTATTGTTTTACACCATCCAGTTAAGATTTGCTTCCACAATAATTCATTTCTCAAAATTACTTTTTCCTTTGGTCAACCTAAATTAATGTTTGTTTGTGTTATTTCTTTTTTTTTTTTTTGATTAAATACATACAAATATCTTTCTTTTGCCTTCAAGCACACACATCTAATGCAGAATTTGCCTTATACTTATTACTGGTAGTAAAGGTTTGGCAAAACTTTAATTTGTCAGTGGTCAGTAGGTCTTTAATATAAGAATTAAATAATTGATCAGTTAGACAGACTAATCATGCCGCATTTTACAATAACCAAGTTTATCATTCATATGTCAGTTTACAGATAGTATTCTAAATTTGTTTTTAGAGAAATCTTTTTATATCTTTTGAAATTTCAGCAATAAGACTCATTTCTGTGAGGTGACTTCCTAATTGAAAATCACTTTTTTCATATATTTTTAGTAAACGTGTTATGTTTGATGTCAATGTAACTACAATGTCCCCTATTAACCTTTAATTCCCAAGATCTCATTAGTAATTCTCCTTACTGTCTACCATACAGTTCTCCTGATGTTAGTTTTGAGAATTTGTTATTGGATCAACTAATAATCCCTTAAGTGATATTTTTCTTTATTCTCATCACTTGTCTGCTCGATATTGTCAATATTGTAAGGAGAAATTCTGTCTTGATCACTTATGGGAACTAAAGGGTTAATGTGAGTTGTCCCAGGTGTATTTGAAATGAGTAGTTTCTTTCTAACATACAAACTTAGCTTTGTTTAGTTTGCAGCTTTTGTTAACCTTTCCTATCCTAACGTCTGTATGCAAGTTCTCCATAATGTTCTTTATACATTTACTATGGTACTTAGATACAAAGATAATCTGTTTAATAATCAGGAGTTTGCAATCATTTCCTTTATTCTTGTGACCTTTATGTGTGATTCTGCAGTGAAACTGTTAATTGGGAGAAATTTAGAACTCCTCAGGGTTAACCCTTTAAGTCTCACTAGTGACCAAGACAGAATTTCTCCTTACATTATCAGTACAATATCAAGCAGACAAGTAATAAGAATAAAGAAAAATATCAATTAGAGTATTATTGGTTGATCCAATTCCAAATTCTCCAAACTATCATCACGTAAATTGTATGGCAGACAGTAAGGAGAATTACTCATGAAATCTTGGGAGTTTAGGAGTTAAAGGGTTGTGGTTCTCATTCTACACAAGATTTACTTATTTTCTTACATTTCAGGTCTATAGTGACTGAAGATGTTGTGCCAAGTAAAGTAGGAACACAGCTTTCACAAGAAAATGGCAAAGGCAAGGAAAACTGAGGACAAATGTAACTCACAACTCCATCTGACGGCCAAAGGAAATGCAAAAATTCTTCATCTTCAACTGTCTAGTTGAACTAAATAGCTGTAATTTTCTTGTGTATTTTTTCCTACACTCGAGGCCATTTACTTCTTTTTTACTTTGAGTTGTGATCTGCTTCTTGTTAATTTTTCACTTTTGTTCATATTTGCTTTTTTATTACTTTAGTTTTGTTTTTACAACACTCAATTCAAACGCATTCCAAGGCACTCTACAGGAGACACACAACAGGCATACAAACTTGAAGAACTCTACACTAATACCCAGCACATGTACAATAGCAATCATTGCACCATACTTTAAGAACTTAGGCATAGTTCCCATCATTCTCATGGTTGTTAACTTGTTAATACTACTGTTTTTTGCTGATAACTGCATGTTATGTACAGTGCAATCATTTGTTTTTAAAATTGTTACATGCATATACATAAATTTAGCAGTTAAAAAGTTGTATAAGTATTTTGAACATATATCACTTTCTTGGATTGTTAATAAACTTCTAATTCAAATACAGTTTTTTTGCACTTGGAATTTTTAAGAGAGGAAGGGGAAAATGGTATTTGATAGTGAAACTTCTAACATCCATTGGTACATTTACAGTTATTATGGAATTGAGATGTTTTGCAACTTAATGTAAGCCAAAAAACAGTAGAGTACTTCATCAAACATAAAATGCTTCGAAAGATTCTGCCCATTGACTTCACTGATGATTTAAACTTTCTGCCCTGACTGGTGAAAGGTTCACTGGCTTCAAAACAAAGAGAACTGCAAGGCGGCTGGGTCAGCATGCTGTGATAGGGTGGGGTCAAATGGAAATATCCACCCTGAAAACAAGCTATCTACCCATTTCAGAAACAATTTTCCAAGGCTGACAATGTTTTTTCCAGGGCTCCAGTGATTCCATTAACCCTTAAATTCTCAAGATTGACTAAATTTCTCCATGCAATATCAAGATGACAGCTGATGGGAATAAAGAAAAATGTACATGTTAAATATCAACCATCTTGATTTAATACCAAATTCTACATTTTAGGTCTTTCCAGGACTGATAATCTTTTTAGAAGACTTTCAGGTCTTTGAAAACTCTTTCACAGTAGTCCAAGAATTTCCAGGTTTTCCCAGGACTGTATGAACCCTGTAAAAACAGACTTTGGAGACTAGCACTTGCGATATGCCTGATGAAACCCGGACACTCGTATCAGGTTTTCTCAATGTGCAAACATGTGTTGTCTTCATATTTCACCGCTGAACTTTCCCAAACAAGAACATCATGTAAGATACTGATCCAAAGCTTGTGACAAGCCACATCTTCCAGTAAGCTGATCGCCCCCATTTTGTCATTACAAATGGCAAAAGTGTTGCCATCCAAAACACAAAATATGGGAAAGTTCTTGTCCATGGTAACCTCCTCCTCCGTGGAACCCCAGGCATTTTCCCATCTTCTTGGTAAAATTTATTCAAAATTCTGGAAAGACAAAAAAAAAAACAAAAAACACAGACACATTACAGGTGAATGCTACATTCAATTAATTGAAATTGTTCACCCTACGACCTCTAAAAACATATCATACCCAAAATGCATTGCTTGGAGCAATTTGCAATCCAGTGTTGAAATGATCTTAGATGGCCCAGGTTTTACATTACTTTGCTTTGTAATTGTTACCAAAACTTATGCTATTCCCTTGACCAGTCAGGAGCAAAATAAAAAACAACTATGCCTTGATCTCTTCCCACCACTCAGGAAGTTTGCTTGTTTCCACTCACCCTCGCATCAGTATGCACAATCTCCATGCTGATTTCTATATATTTCCAAAGGTGTTGATAACGAGAATTTATTTAACAATCAAGAGCTTGTTTGGTTGGTGATCTTTTCCTTTTTTCTCATGACTTTAAATGTTTGACTCTGGTGTGATAATGTAAGGAGAAATTAGATGGTATCGATACTCACTCCTACGAGTTAACCCTTAACACCCCAAGATCAGTATACATATTCTCCATACTGTTCTTTACACATTTCCTCGGGTGATGACAAGGAGAACTTGTTTACCGGTCAAAAGCTTCTTTAGTTGGTGATCATTTCCTTTATTCTCATGACCTTAATGTGTGATTCAGGGGTGATATTGTAAGGAGAAATTAGAAGCTAGTCCTCTTACTAATAATTAAATAACAAAATCAGTTGGTAGTAGCACCAAAGTAGTAAATGGGAGTCATGGGTTTTGAACCCTGTCAAAACCTGACTCTCTTCAGATTGCTTTCTCTGCAATGACTTAGATTGCCGTCTTTCGAGTATAGATAAATTCATCAATTTTTTTTTAAAAACTATATTTTAACATTCTCCTCAAACTGCTCTCTTTTCTCATCATTAGAAAATAACAACATGAAAATCATTAAAAGCTTACCTGTCTTTCTCTGCAAAGGTTTGGTGGATCCAGGATTTTCTTCCTTCACTATCCTGCAAGACAACAGTTTTAAAATTGACTCTTACCACAGAGACATCCAAAGGCAGGATTTGATATTTCATTTCTGTATGGACTCTGCTTGTAATTGAGAATGCAACATCAGAGGAAACAGTGATATCTTTTACAAAGCCATTTTAAATAAAATCAACTGAATGAACCATGATATATGAACATAATGCAAACAAACCTTGGGAAGATCTCTAGCTTCATGCCTTCGGCAGTATACATGGACTTGTTGTCCTTTTGAAATAAGGAAATCTAAAGGAGAAAACACATTTTAGGGCCAACCCTGTTATGATAATGGACATTTATCAGATAATTCACTGATATCATAGCAGGCTTCAAAAAAGGAACTCAAAAGGACTTGTTGTCCTTTTGAAATAAGGAAAACTAAAGGAGAAAACACACATTCCATTTAAGGCTAACCTTGTTATGGTATTGGGCATTTATAAGAGAATTCACCAACTGTCTAACACAAAGAATTCCATATCATAACATGCTAGGCTTCAAGGGTGGAATTCAAGGAAGTTACCAGTGGGTTAAACAACTATACAGCACATACCAGACATAGTTGGAGCTGGTCTGCGAGGAAAATGATTCTCGTTTGCCATGCTATAGGTGATAGTGAAGTCATAAACAGCATCCAAATAGTCAGAAGACAGAACCTCGAAGCTGGCCTTGAAGAAAACAAAATGATATCACATTGAAATACCTGTTCTAACCAAAACTTTCACAATCATCAAAGCATAGACTTTATACATATTTGTTTTTTTGTAGGTGTAGTTTTATATTGTGACACTGATGCAGGTCACAGGTTACCAACCTCAGTAGCCTTTGTTCTTGGGGTGAGTACCTGAGTTAAGACTGGGAGTCCTGTGAATAAGAGCACATAATGGTTGATAGAAGTTGATTGTGTGATAAACTTTGACAAAATACAGTGTTAAATGTGGCCAAATGTAACCTAGGAAATACAATTGATCACAAGCACATGCTAACCAATGGTAATATTAAAAAAGCACAGAAATATTTAAGGCTTATTGTTCACCTCATGACAATTATCAGAGTTGATAATCAAAATATTTGATTGTCACATTTGGGCATGGGCTGGCATTCTGCATAAACCCTATGTGCACAACAAGTAACAACAGATGCCTGTTTATACAGCTACCAGTAATTACCGTAAGTTTTATATTTAACTTGTTGGTCTGTGCATTTTGTTCACCCTTTCACTCCAAAGATCTCAAAAATAAGTAACTCTCCTTACTGTCTGTCTTTGGTATTGGATCAACTAATAATCTCCTGATTGATATTTTTCTTTATTCTCATCAGTTGTTTGGTTGATATTGTGTTGATACTGTAAGGAGAAATTCTGTCTTGGTCACTTATAGCACCTCCAGGCATAATACACCCAGGGTATAAAACACATCACCTGGGAAAATTATCCAAGGGAAGGTATCATGTACACCATCATAAATTCATAAATTACCTAAGTATTTCATGACATTTACCTTGTTCAGTTGCAAATGCTTGACTTTTTTCAATCACTGCTTTATTATTTACATTATATCGTGTGCCTTCTGGAAAAATGACTAACCACATCTACAACAAAATATAACCTTACATTATTAATATCAAATCACAAATTAAAAAAGAAAATATGTTGTCATGATCAAATACTGGTTACTTGCAAAGATCAGCACTTAGATTTCTCAAGTTGCAAAAACAGGAACCACTACATGTTACTAATTATGATAACTGTTACAGTAAAATTTGTTTAACATAAAAATAATCTTTCAAAAACTATTTTTATCAGCACATACATACTCACAGGTAGATTTCGAGCCTTCATCTCTGTAAGTTTCCTTAAGATAAAAGGTTGACAGGGTTAACAGGGTTGTGGTTAGAAGCCTGTTGGTGGTAGAAAGCTTCCAGTTGTCAGACCATTTCATGCCAGCTACTTTGTGAAATGATTCTAACATCCAGGTCTGGCTATAAAAAGTTTCCAAATATGTCCCAGATGGCCAGCTGGAAATCACATCTAAGAGAGTTTCAAATTTCATATTTTTCTGGCATTACCTGCTGGAGACCCCCTTAGAGGGGCAAGTTGCTTTGCATGAAGGAAAAAAAAGATTTCCAAATGAAAAGCTTAACTGTAATGCTCACTTTTTAAAGTTGAACCCTTTTGCTCCTGGGAGTGACTACCATTACATTCCTCTAATCACCCCTGAATCACACATCAATATGTATACTGATGTTTGGGTGTACAGTGTTACAACAGGGGCTTTGGCCTAATTTAGTGTGCATAGGATAAAAAATATTTTTAAAAAAACTACCATGTGCCAATAATCTTACATCAATTTGCTAAACTTGTTGTGACATTCTACTTAATATGTAAGCACAACCTACCTAGCAATGTAATCTTGGTCTTTTGCCCCACTGCGTTTAACATATATACATGAATGCTGTAAATAGTATTGTAATCAAGTTATAAGACAGCATGGTTTGTGTATGCATGCCCACCTCAATTGAAAAAAAAAAAAAAAAAAAAAAACAGAAAGACAAAAAAAAAAGAAAAACAAGAAAAAAAACAGGTAACTCTAACTCCCAAGATCTGATTGTTAATTCTCCTCTCTAGCTGCTACACATTTCCTTGTGGATTAGTTATAAGAATTTGCTGTTAGATCAAGATGAAAACATCCACCTGATAAGCCTGGATATTCTCATTACCTGTTTGCTGGATGATGTATGGTATCACAGGGAGAAGTTACATGTTAATCACTTCAGGGAATTCCAAAGTTAAAAGTCTTAATTTCATGAACTGCACAGACACAGAGATTCAAACAGTTACCTGAGCAAAGTAGAAACCATATAAAGGGAAATATTTCAACCCGTTCTTCAGAATGTAGCGAAGTCGTCCCAAAGAACCTTGCCTGACAGCAAGGAAATCAGTGATTATCCAGTCCACTGCATAAAAACAATGTTTTACAAACATTAAAAAGATAAATTACATAAATATAACATCCAAAGTTATCAGAGTTTTCTTTTAAATGGTGAAAATGCAAATTCTCTTCAAAGATATAGAATAACTACCTCAATCAAGTGGGAAGCCAATGATATTAGAAAATATTCAATAGGCTGTAATTTTTTTGAAAGAAAGTACTTGAATCCGTTAAACTCTAAGAGTGAAACACATGTCTAATTTCTCCCAGTGGTATAACTTCTTACTCAAACTTCAAGGTTGTGAGAATAAAGGAAATGATTGTAAACTCAAGATGCCCTTGATTGTTAGACAAATTCTTCTTGTAAGAACCATAGTAAATGTATAGAGAACAGTAAAGAGAACTTCCATATTGATGTTAAGGTATAAAGGGTAACACCATGATCAGGTGAGGCAATGGAAAGGCAAGTTTTATGGGCTAGGTCATATATTTTTGTTTTGTTTTGTTTTGCCTTCAGATAGACAATTTTCTATCGCAAGGATTGGATAACTTTAAGTCAAATTGCATTTGGTCACCAAGAACATTCTAATCTTAGGAACTGTAACTTGCTTATTTGGAGATTTGGGACTTTGGTTAAAAATATGACAACCACATGAAAGGATTTAGTAAATAAATATAGAGAAAAAAGAGTGTAAGACCTGATCCTGGGGTTTATATGTAGAGTTGTCTCTTTAAACAATCGGTACCTGAACTTTGATGGTTACATATCACAATCACATTTTCCTGTTTATTCCATGGAATTTGATCACCATAAAGGATAACCTGCAAATTAAGTAAAATGGCAGGTAATATTATTAATGATGGAGGTTGGATAATATTGAATGTAGAAGATAAGTGCATAATTCAGCTTTCCCAGGAAAAGGGGATGTAGATCACAACATATCTAGATAATTTCAGCCCAACTACCCATAGATTGCAAAAAGTGGCTATGCATCAATTCAATTTGACCTTAAAAAACCACACAGGATTTTCACCAAGGTACATGAGTAAATGCAAAATGTGTCAAAACTTGAGGTGGAAAAAAGGAGATTTCATTTGACATTGTCTTGCACAGATATTTTCTTTTGGAAATTATATAAAGGCAAAGATAAAGTTAAAAAAACATAGTGGATGGAAATAAAGAGGACTGGAATTATCCTGGAAATTCAAGATTATTGAAATGTTGACAAATTCTTATCAGCAGTTAAACACAAAGAAACAACGACAATAATGTTACATGTCCCAATCAAACATGTCCCAAACTCTTCTCTACAACTTGTCTACATCATTCTGCAAGTTTCCCCACTCATGTTCATCCCTTTACAATGCATCCATCTTAATAGTAAAAGTATTCATACAACAATGAAAAGTTTCCAAAGTGAGAATTCAGGCTTCATGCAGTTCCTACACCTGACATGCCCTTACCCACCCCTCTGCCTCTTTAATAGACCTGCGTAAAAGAGTCTCATGTTCAATTCAAAATGAAGCCACTTTGGAGAGGGAAGAAAAAGAGGGCAGGGCAGGGCAGGGCAAGTTCTGAGTAGCCATGGGATTCATCAGGAATCACCCCATTCATACTCTTGAAAGACATGTGAGTGTTTCAGCTAACTTGCTGTCCCTCATTTCGGGAATCAGCCACATTCTCCATTCCCTCCAAAGGTTTGCTATAGCTATAGAAAGTATTCCTACAATTATGAAAAGATGGAAAGTGTACAATGGTGGACATGTATGCACTCTTTCTCCTCCACAACCTTAACGCCCTCGTGAACCCTTCAAGCATTTCATACCACTGAAGGAGTCACTCATGTTCACGGCAGAATGAAAAAACTACAGAGGGATGGAGAAAAGGATTCAAGCAGCGATAGAAATAATCAGGAATTACATGTTTTCACACTCTCGGAATACACCTTACGGTGCACCAACCCACGTGGTGTCGAGACTCCGCGTTCACTTGAAATATCTCCTAACAACATTCATAATATTGCCTCACCTCAGCTCCCGTCAAGGTCTCAAAGAAGAAGCAGATAAGCGATTGATACGAGTCGTACATAATCTCATCTCCTCGTTCGAAGACGCGCCTAGACAGAGGCAGTGAAGCGAGTCGCCATGCAAGCCAAGTTATTAAGTAATACGGTGCAACACCAAAAACAACAACAGCTGGGCCGACAAAGCGCAGCAGCTGGATGTGACCCAGCGCAGTCAACATTTTCTTTAGAAAAACTTGATGAATCCACAGCTTTAACGAATCACTGACAAAAACTAGAAGGATTTACAACGCGCATATCGCGATGGCCGCTATTCATTAAGAGTACCAGGTTACTAAGCTGAAGGGGAGTGGGCGGGGGTGTTAAACAAGACCTATCATACATCTGACCATCTTCGTTGACAATTTATTTCTCTACCACTTCCACCTCTAAGAAGACAACGGCATGCTCCCTATTCACTCTATCTGCTCTTAGCAAAGACCTTAAACTCATTTAAACCAAACAAATGAGAGGTTTAGGGCAAAAAGCCCGGATGCACAAGGCTGACAAAATTTGTTTTCTCGAAAATCTGCACATTTCCCTTCGCTAAATTAATAATTTGTCAAACGTGGGCGCACTGAAAAACAGCTAAATATTTGTTGACCACAAAGTGTCAATCACATGGATTTACAAATTAAACAGTACTTGGATCTAGAGATACGGCTGGAACTAATTCAGTACCCTGAGTACTGATTGTCATGCAACATCCAGAAGTACGAATTTTCCATCTTTACCATTTGATTGTTGCTTAAAATGTAAACATTTATGCAAGCTTCTGCCTAAAAGATTCGGAGTTCAAACTTCCTTGATTGACGTTCTCCTTCAAATCTTTGCTTGTGGATTAAAACATCTGTCAGATCTCACGCATGACAAAAATGTGTCCTGTGAAAGGTTAAAAAAAATCCACTCGTGTCCCTTTATTGCATAAATTGTCTGGTCGGTGAGTTCCTTTCTGTCACTGGGGAGGAGTTGACCCATACGATACTCAATTTCACGCTTTAAGACGTACTTTCAGATAGAGAACGGGATACATGCAAGTAAAAACAGATATGCTGACACAAGACAAGTGAAAAACACTGTTTATTTCGCTATGATTCTAAGAGTACGGATTCTCTAACAGGAGTGGCTCTCGGATATTCCATATACAGTAAAAAAATCGTGTAAAAGCTTAAGCTTTCGTTTCAATTCCTTTTGATGAAGTCGAAATCTGCTTTTTGCCAGTATTCTAGTTGCCTCAGGAAAGACTCTAGTACACATCAAAGTACTGTTACAACCCATTTTGGTAAGTTTCTCAACTAAGGGTTTGTTCTCTGAAGATGTCTGCTGACATTCATTTCAAAACAAGGAAAAAAACAGGGGAAGCTAGTAAATTATCAATGTTGCGATATTCCCAAAGTAAAACTCAGACTTAATCCTAGTAAACATCGCAAAATTCGAGGTAACTACCAACTGTTTAAAAGTAAATTCACTTACAGAGAGCCGAACAAGTAAAGCTTCGTTCGGAATTCCAAATTGTCCAATCAGAGAACAGCACAAGGTTCTCCGTGAAAGGTGGGGTCAGCTTGGTCAAATTTCCCGGCAACTTTGTCTACGAAAGTAACGAATCCACTCGTAGGATAAAAAACTATCTGAGAGAGAAACAGTCAATGGCAAAAAAAACTGCCTTAATTACAACTGCGCATACTCTATGCGCCACCTGTCTATTGGTTAACATAAGCTGCATGTTCAACCCCTTTGAACGAAACCACCGCTTATCGCCTTTGCTTAACGTCAGAGGAACTACTGCTGTTGGACCCAGACTCCTGGTCACTGCTGCTCGATCCACTACTACTGCCTTCACTACTTTCACTGTCACTACTCTGGCTTTCTGAGCTACTTTCGCTTCCACTTTCGCTACTGCTTTTCTTCCGGGATCGGCTTTCTGCGTTTTTCGTTTTACTTGGCTTCGCCACTTCAATCTTCTGGTTTTTCTCTTGAGCCACTCTAAAATGCCAAGAAGAACAGTTTCAATAAAGACGACCTCGTTCAAGGAGAAGCTAATTTCAATGTAATTCGCAACCGTTGTTTCGTCTTGTCACGGAAACAAGAGAGAAGAACCGTTGCGTGACAAGACCAAACAACAACGTTTGCAAATTTCTAGACGTCACTACTAGTCCTTTCAAACATCAAAAGTAAGATGCAAACAAAAACAAAAAGGTCCACCCCCAACGTCACGATTTTGCGACATAGACCCAACGTCCCCGCGTAGGTGCGTAATTTTTCCGAACCTCCATTTAAGCACCCAATCAGTAGAGCTAATTTTGTGTTGTATGACGTCGTTAATGAAGACAATAAGTCTTTCACATTTGAAAAAGCCGAAATATTCGTGTTTCCACTTTTCGTTCTGGATGGCAGCGAGGAAAACAGTTGCTTCTTCCAAAGCGCCAGTTCCTTTAACCTGGCGCAATTGTCGAGTTGATCAAACAGGTATAACTGACGGCTTGAACTTAACGTAAATTTAAGCAAACTATCGTGTTAAAGGTATTTCATCAGTCATAATTTTTAATACATCACTTGTACCTTTTACGCGGAGGTTCCTGGCTACTCCTCTCCGCCGATTCACGTGTATCTCGACCTCTTGCCTGAACAGGAGATGACTCGTGTTCCGTCACTTTGTCCTTTCTACGAACAGGCGACGCACTAGGAGTTCGGCTGCGCCTTTGAACAGGACTATCTCGAGCAGGAGATTTTTTCGGCGCCGGTCGATTTCTTGGCGGGGTTACACTTCTGGACTGTCTGCGCTTCCGCGTTTGCTTGGGCGGAGAGCGCCTTGGACCACGACTTGGGCTTCTTGAAGGGCTTCTACTTTGACGCCGATAAGAGCCTCCAGCAGGAGCCGGGCTTCTTGACCTGCGCCTTCTGATAGGGCTTGGGCTTCTTTTGGGCTTTGGTGGGCTCAGGCTTCTAGAAGGTCGACGCCTGCGGAACTGGGTAGGTGGGGAACGCCGAGGACTGCGACTGACGCTTCTTCTTCGGCGCTGATTGGAGCCTCGTGCAGGTTGACTTCGAGGAGGTGACGAACTGGGCTTTCTGGTGGGTCTTGGGGGAGTTACACTTCTAGAAGGACGCCGCCGCCGAGGTTGTAAAGCAGGGGAAGGCGAATGCCTTGGGCTTTGACTACGCCTCCTCGCAGATTTGGGGCTCACTGATCGATCTCTTCTCGATCTTTCTTCCGATCTACTTCTACTTCGGTTTCGTCTCATAGGCTTAGAACGAAGAGGACTTGGAGACAGCCTTCTCCTTACAGGGGGCGGGCTCGGGGACGACCTTCTACGTCCTGGGGGTGGGCTTCGAGATACCCTACGTGCTGGGGGTGGACTCGCTGGGGACCTTCGACGCGCAGGCGGTGGGCTTGGGGTTCTACTAGGTTTTCGTCGTCTTGGAGGTGCAGCTTTATCTGAAGACCGCCTGGATTGTTTCACGGGTGAAGGACTGGGACTAGCACGGCGAGGTAACGGAGAAGGCCTCTTCTTTTGAGTTCTTTGTTCACTTGTATCAGGCGATGACTTGTGCTTGGTCAGCACAGGTGACACACGGCTGCTATGCGATGATCCGTCCTCAGACTCTGACGCAGATTCGGACGAACTACTAGAAGAACTCTCTTCTGAACTGGACCGTTTCTCTTGGGCCTTACTCTTTGTCGTTCGTTTCACTTTCTTTTGGCTATCACTTGGTACTTCTTTCTTCTTGCTAGCAGCCACTTTTGGTGGAGGAGGAGGAGGAGACTCGCTGGGTAACCTTCCTCTTTGCCTCCTTGCATCAGGAGATGGCGATGCAGACTGTCTGGTCCTCCGTCGGGTCTCTTTCGGAGGACTCTCAGCGCGCTCTTGGTTGCGGCTTCTTCGTATACCTTCTACGCGCTGCCTATCGTCAGGAGAAGGCGACTGTTTTTTTCGATTCCTTCTATCTTCTCTCGATGAACTACGTCGCCGGTTTCTGTCCTCGGGAGTAATATCACGTCGCATTCGGCCACTCGCCTTGTTGTCGCCATTTCTGGAGTTAAAGTTTTCCCTCTGTTGTGGTCGACGGTTTTCTTCTCTCTCACGAGAATCTTCCTTCCTGGTTGTGATTCTTGACTGCTCAGGGATGGGACTCGACTTTCGACGCCTTGTTTCAGGCCTTTCTTCATCAGGTTCACGTCGTCCTTCCGACCGTTCTTCAGAAGAGCTTCGTGCGTCCCGCTGCTTTCTCTTCTTTCTTACCTCAGATGATTTTTCTGCAGAGCTCGACCGATCAACACGACGCTGCTGCCTTTCACGAACACCATTCTCAGACAATGACCGATCTTTCTCTGGAGATTGTCGATCTCCATTTCCACTACGACGTAGCCTTACACGCTCCCCGCGCACGCGATCATCGGGTGAGTGATCCCGTTCTACACGTGATCGATCGTTACGCGCACGATCGTCACGTTCCTCGCGGTCACGTTCTTGTCTCACACGTTCTTCATTTTGTCGATTTTCATGGTCATCTCGCATTTTCCTTTCTCTTCTCGTATCAGACTTGTCAAGATGTTGCTGTCGACGAGATTTAACTTTTTCAGGGGAGGAATTATCTGGAGACGGGGATCTATTGCGTTGGAGTCTTGGGACATTTTCTTTGTCCGTTGATGGACTACGATGGTCATTTCTTTTTGTTTTATCCTTTCTCTGTTGCTTCCTCTTGTCACGCCTTGGAGGGCTTTCACTCTCTGAACTACTGTTAAGTTGCAAAAAACAATGTAAATATATTATATATTTCTTAAAGCGGTGAGGCTCAGGTAAGAGTAGGGAATACTGAACAGAATTTAAATAATGCAAATCCAGTGCATTCGACAAAACCACGCCCGTGTCAACGTAGGTTGCAGAAACCAAACTAAAATTGACTGTCAAAACTAACAGAATTTTGCATGCGTAAGAACCACCACCTTAAAAGAGATCTAGAGTCCTTTTACTTTAGTTCACCGTTCGCAGTTATCATCCAGGGCTGCTCAACCATAAACGGCAGAGTAACACGGCGCAGATTAACTCTTTAACCCTAAGAGTGACAAACGTCTAATTTCTCCCAACAGTGTTTCCACTGAAGCAAGCAGTAAGTTCATGAGAATAACGGAAATGATTTCGAACTCAAGAAGCTCTTGAATGTTAGACAAATTATCCTTGCAAATACCATAGAAAATGTACAGAGAACAGTATGGGGAACTTGCATACTGATGTTTTAACACCATGTTACCTTTCTGAATCTTTTCTTTGTCTTCTTCGTGGCTTTTCATCCTCTGAACTGACGTGTCTCTCCTTTTGCTTGGCTGCTTTTTCTTCCTTGTCTTTCTTTCGAGACTTTCGGCTTTTATCTGGGCTCTCAGCTTTACGGGAACGTTTGCGACCATCATCGCTAAGAACAGAAAATCACCAGAACACGTCACAAATAACATCACCGAGACGGTTACTAGAGTTTCGATCCTGAGATCATATTTTTATTATCTAACATTTTTTACTCATTCTATATTTTACATACATTTTTATGATCATTATAACATTTGTGCTACAGTTTTTTCACCTTGTGACGTAGATGTTACAAAGGACACTTGAGAATATTTATTGTACTTTGGACTGCAAATAACATACTCAACAAACAAACAAACAAAAAATCACAACAGTTTAACGCCAATGATTAGCTCACCCCTTAAAAAATACACCAGATCTACCAGAACAATAAATTCCTAAATCAAAGTCACTGATGTACTTGCAATAAAAAAAATAGAGTATCAAAGCCAGTGGAAAACAAAACAAACAAAAATAACTCACCACCAGTAACAACTACATGTACATCAACATCAACTAAAATTATACTATAGCAATAAAACGTTTTCCAAGAGAAATACTATTCATGGTAAGAAAATTCCATAACATGTGAAGAAAACAAAAGTGCACCTTCTATCTTTGTCTCTCTTCTTCTTTCTTGATTTTCGACTGTCTGACTCAGACTCTGAAGAACTTGAGAAATTTTGAGAAAAAAAAAAAGCCAACAAAAACAAGAAAAATAATTAGAATTACAGCAAGATTGTTTAGTTTTCCTTTTAGCTTTTATTTCTCTCTAATAGACAGCCTGTGGTTTACATGTATCTATACAAATAGATAAAGAAAAAAATTGCAATTCAATGTCAACATCAATTCAACAACAGATGGTTAACATTTTTCTTACCTGCAATGCTTTACCTACAGTAAAAAAAAATTTCCCCTTAAGAAATTCTTCCCAGTCTCAGTTTTTGAACGAAGGACTAACAGTGAACCCATTCCTACCTCCCATTCCCTACTTGAAAAACAACCATGATTACAAAATAACAAGTTGAATTTACTGATTCCGCGAAAGAAAGTCTGTTATCAGACATCAGTGCAGATGCAGTGCTGTTGCACTGAGCCCAGTCTGCAGTGAAGTTACCTTTCTTCTGGTGTCCTTTCTTTGCGCTTTTTCTTCTTTTTGCGTCTGACTGGTGAGGACTCTCTCTCAGACTTGTTCTCAGAACTGCAAGACATAAAACAATGCCAGTATTAACAGTAACCTCATCAATTGATTCTTCATTGGGTAAACATCCTGCAAGCAATCAGATTTAAACATGTGAGATGACATATTTCTTGGGGTGCAACTACCCTGTAAACCAGACTCCCATAAACAGACCATATGATAAGGCTTAACTGCACAAAAGAATCTGTTAGCCCTGTAGCAATTCATATACGAGTCCAAATCAACAGCTACTCAAAAGTCTGATTTCTTTCAAAGACATTTAGTTATAATTATGAAGAAGAATTCTCTAAAAATTTTCCTTCCTCTCAACATGCTGCTTTGTAGCTTAGCTGGTAATAGCACCCATCAAGTATCTGGGAGGCCTGGGTTCCAATCCTGTTTTCCAGGCTTCTTCTCTACAATTGCTAAAATTGCAGACCACTAGCCAGCATCATTTTTCTGCTCGACACTTAATTATAATTGCTTTCTCCCTTTCATTTTGCACATATTTCCTGATATTGTTAAGTATAGAAGTGTACATAAATAGCTCTAGGCATGCAGTCATGTATATAATAATGATAATGATAATGATAATGATAATGATAATGATAATAATAATAATAATTTATTACTTATCAGGAAATTAACATCTAAATATAAGATCAAATGTGCCATACAACACTTTGCAGGGGACTTTGGTCAGACTGCATTGAAAGTGTTCACATGCCAAAATTCAACTACTTCTGAACACTTTCAAAAATGGCCGAAAAATCAAGGGATCGTTCTTACTCTGAGCCCTCAATTTTTTTGAAAGAGATTTAGCAGATGCCCCTGATTTCAGAATCTAGGGTATATGTTTCCTACACCCAATATCATCTCATTCTGACCCAAGATTTAAAGGAAAATGTTTCCTTTCAGTATCAGAGTGAGGACAACAGAATTGATTTGCTTCATATTAGATCTATGGTTCTCAATTTGCTTACATTGTTAATACATGCAGTGAAAATGATTCAAAATTTACCACATCAGATACATTGCAAATACTACCATTAATTGTGCATAAACATGTTGCAGTATACCCTGTTAATAAGAGGAAAATATGAGGTTTCTTCATAATCCTTCCCAATCTTAGATGTTTAATATTTCTTAATTACACCAATTCAGGTCTAAGGCTATTTCTTCCCACTGATCTTCCCACTAAGAAGAATCTGCCATCATCATCAATACATTTGTAAATTATAGCTTTTCAGTTATGGAATAAAAGATGTTTTGTTTGTACACCACTCTTTTAAATTTCGTTTGTCCAAAGATTCACTGTCAAATCCCAAACAGCTACTGCTGTAGCTTGTAACCCTTTAAAAAAAAAAAACCCTCAGCTAAACCTTGAAAAAAAGAAGCTACAGCTGATTACCTAAACATAAAAAGATTTTTTCTGGGCCAGCAACAGCCAATAGCCTCATACTCACAAAAACATTAACCCTTTAACTCTCAGAAGTGATTAATATGTAACTTCTCCCTTTCATATCCATACAATATCAAGGTAACGCATAATGAGAATATTCAAACTTATCAGGTCAAAGGTGTTATCTTGATTTAACACCAAATTCTCCTAACTAATTTAAAAGGAGGTGTGTAGCAGCTAAAGGGGAGAATTAACAATCAGATCTTGTTAGTTACAAAGTTAAAACTTAAAGTTTGTGTTCCAAACCATACCTGTCTGAGCGACTCCTCTCATCTGAAGACTCAGACACAGGAGTACGCTTTCTCTTTTTTTTCTTTGGTGGCGATTCCTCCTTTGCTCTATAAAGAGATAATAATTAGTAAAACTAATATAACACGATTGATATCTGGGTGTCGGATTCTGCAAATGCAAGTGACTGGAAAAAGTTCATTAACCCTTTAACTCCCATGAGTGACCAAGACAGAATTTCTCCTTACAGTGTCAATGTAATATCAACCTGATAAGTGATGAGAATAAGAAAAATATCAATTTGGGGATTAGTTGATCCAAAACTAAATTCTCTGAGCTAACATTGTAAGAACTGTATGGTTGACAGTGAGGAGAATTACAAATTTGATCTAGGAGTTAAAGGGTTAAGGGCCAAAGGGTAATTACTTTGACCAGAGTAACTGACGTCTATTATCGAGTAGACAGCAGAACTATGGCAGTCACCGGCTTGTTTTGAAACCTCTGGGTATCTGGCCATTCAAAAGTTAATCAAGGCAAACTTACAGAATTGGGTAAGTTATCAATTTTCAGATCAGAAAGAGTATATTTGTAGTACTGCCAAACATTTTGGGATCATTGAACTGGTCTTTAAATCCACATGTTTTTAAGTGTGACACTAACAAGAATTTGTTTTATTTTATGTTTGAATGATTATTAGAAGCGACTAAAACAGACAAATTCCCAAGTGTTTCACTTCAAGTCGTTCACATTTTGTGCAAAACTAATAAAATTATCCACAATGATTCTTGTTAAAATAATTCATAATAATCATACTAGTAATAGTTATGATAAAATTAATAATAATGATTAAGTCTTACAGGTTTTAGCAGCAATAACATAAGAAAATCTTAAGACCACTGGCCTTACCTGCCTGAGCCAAAATGAAACTTGAGAACAAATGAGCAAATACAAGTAGTCTAGCTACAGTGTTGGGAAATAGAAAATCAAGAACATCATTAAGACTGAGTTTGTAGACAAAAGTTCTTCCTCAATCCTTCTCTAATGTGTTTAACAACTAATTTTGTAAAAAAGGCATGACCACTGAATGTTTGGTTTCCTTAACACACTCTTACTAGAGGGCTGCTCAATAACTCTCTGCTGCTCCATCCAATGAAGCCCAGGCTGTCTCAGTCCACATTCTTAAACCTCTGCACCTGAACCAACCCAACCCAACCCACACTCAAAAACCAGCTGCTTCTGGAAAGGTTGTTTATAAAAAAAAAAAAGCAGAAAAGTGCACATGACAACCCCAAAAAGTAATGTAAAGAGTTTTCAGGAAAATCCTGAGAAAACATCACTGTAAGGACAACGCATAGGACATTTGAAGAATTTATTTATCTCTTTAGCTTGTTGAAATTCATTGATTACCAGATATCCAGATTACCTTTAAAGGTTATCACATGCGCTTTGTCCTTTTTTCTGCAAACCTTTCTCAAAACAGCTGTATATGTATGAACAGATCTCGTGTTTACTTACCTATCTGGCTTGAATAAACATCATAATAACAAAATTATGATTAAAACATAAGCAAAGTACAAGTTACAAGTAAGTTGCAAAAGTAATAATTTTCCTGTAGGTTAATAACATTCAACAAAAATTTTAAATAAAACACTATTTACAGCAAAAAGTAACATTTACAAGACAACAAGACAACAAGAACTGGATCTAGGGTACCATGCAGTATCATGGGAGATAATTATATGTTTCCTTGTATAACAACTTAACTACAACAAACTTATTTGAATTTTTAAGGAACCAAACATTCAGTAGGTCATGGTGCCATGAAAAAAAAAATTGTTCCTCATCATCCTGTGAACTAACGTTACAAGGAGATACACCATTTTTCTACTGATTCAAATGATTTTCTATTTCCCAGTCTTATCAAACTTTATTTTTATAAATGACCACGATGATGCCTCAAAATGTATTTTTACTAGGCCACCATAAGTCTATACTTGTTCTCAGATAACAGAATTTTTTAATAATATATATATATATATATATATATATATATATATATATATATATATTTTGAAAAATGGTAGGTGTCATTTCAAAATGAACATATGATGAAACAGTGAACCAGCTGAACTTAAAATCACACTAACTTTCTTTTCAAGTTTCCTCTTGTGATTGTTTGATATTAACAGTTAGATTATTGTTATTTAGTAAATAAACAAGTGTGTTTTTAGTAAAACTAAATGGCATACTCTTACTGGAATTCTTTTGAAGAGACTTAGATTTTGAGATACTTATAAACACACTAAAAAATGCCTATACACTCAATGCTCTCTGTAACACTGATTCCTAAACCCCAGTGCTCAAATCCCAACAGTTCCCAGTTCAACATTGCACAATGCTGACTGGAGAGGTTGAACTGGGGCACAAAAAAGAAACACTTGCACATGTGAGGATAAAAACATGCAAACCCTAATGAATCAAGAATTTTCTCAGCAACATCGTTTTTCCAATCAATTTTTTTCCTTCTAGTCTTCCAAGGCTAACTTGATGTGGTTTACAAGTTTCAATCCCAATGTGTGTGCATGTATTTTCAGAACTCCAATTTGGCTTGTTAGGTTGTGTTAGATTCTTACCTTCTACTTTGCTCCTTCTCTCTTTGCTTCTCCAGCTCTATTTGTTTTGCTGCCTTGGCTGACTGCTCAGAAGCTCTTTGAGCTGCCTTCAGTTCTTGATCAAATGACGAGCCATCTTTGTAATCCTCTTTAATTCCAAGAGCTTCTTTCAGTTTAGCATTCTTCTGCTCATTTGCTTCTGCCATCTGATGTGTTTCTGTAACACTAAAAAAATTAGGCATCATGACTACCATACTTATATATAAAACTGAAACAGATGTCAATAATACACTTTTCAGTTGAGTGTTAAAAGTTATCAAGGATTTCAACAGTTTTGCTTAGTTTTGCTCTATGGTTTGGCGATAAATCTCGCACAATCCTTTCAACCAACCAAAAATTAACTTGTTTTAACCTTTTCACTCCCCAGAGTGACCAAGAAAGAATTTCTCCTTAAATTATGATTATGGATCAAGCAGACAAGTGATGAGAATAAATAATCAATAAGGAGATTATTAGTTGATCCAATGGCAAATTCTCAACTAGCATCATAAGAATTGTGTGGCAGATGGTAAGGAGAATTACTGATCAGATCTTGGGAGTGAAAGAGTTAACTTTCATCCCTCACAGACTCCTTAATTATTTTCCTTTCTTCTGACTGGCTGCAGTGATTATGTTGGTTTAGGTTTTTACAACCCTCAATTGACAAGCACTCTGTCATGGTGATGATTCTCAGATAAAAATAGTTTGTACATGAACATAGCAAATATGTAAACTTTACTGTAACTTGTTCGCAAGAACATTTTACAACCTTTGGGTTATGGTTGTAATTCATTAATGTCAGAGCTCACATGGACCTTACCTTTCTACATGCTAAAACATAAACAAAGAATGAGTATGAAAAAGTATACCTCAAGAATGATAGAACAATAATTCATCAATTAGAACTTCATTACTTGAAAGCTCCTAACAATACAGTACCAAAAATTAAGCAGAAAAAGTTAACATGAAGAAACAAATGCCTCTGAAAAAAATAGAGCCTGATGGAAAATGGAAAGTTAAAGTGAAGGAAGGGAAGAAGGGACAAAAAAAGTTTCAGGTAAATTAATTAAAAGTACATTCAAAGACATTCTTTTATATACAAGATATTGACATTGAGGAAACCATAAGAAAAGGCTAAAAGATCTCAAATTATAAGGTGCAAAAATATGGCTTCATACAAGAAGGTAGGTATAAAATAAGTGCTACCTCATTATTGGGGACAGTTTAATGGATGCAGACATAGGTAGAAACAATTATATATACTTAACAGTCTAATGAAAAAAAGAATCAAAATGTCTCTGTATTTGCCAGGTCCTGAAGAGGTTTACATGTAATCAGTGACAAAAAGGAATATCAGAGTGACCTGCAGTTATGAACACTACTTCACCAATAGTACAGTAGTGTTTATAACTGCCAAGCTCACTTTCATATTCACTTATTTATCTGCAGTTCCCATATATGATTTTCATATATTCACAGTCAATGACAGAAACAAAACACAACTTTTTAAAAACAAGCTGTAATTCATGTTGAATCAAATCATATCATAATAATAAACTATACCAGTTGCATCATGTATGTTCCTGAAAAAAAAATAAAGGAGAGGAAGAATTCTGCATTTGAAATTCATTGCAATTTCTAACTGCAGACCCAGCTGAAAATAGAAAAAAATTGGAGTAATGAGGTTATACACAAGTATGCACTTACGTAGACTTTCCTTCCTTGTTGTTCTTGGACCCAATGCCTGATTGTTCAGAGAGAATGCAGCGCAACTCTTCAACCTTGGTTTCTATTTCACTGTCATTATATCTGTAAATCAGGCAGAGAAAACAAAATAGTTATTAATATAAGAGGGTCTGCACTTCTTTTCCATTTTTTATTTTTTTTTCTTTATATCTTATATTTAATTGCTAACAACCAATTTATTATATAAGGTAATTAGGAGTTAAGCCGCGGGAGTGAATAGGAAGACCGTTCATTATGCAAAAAAAAATGAACAAAGAGTTGTATGGTTTATTTGTTTAAGATGGCAAACTTAACTAGCTTCAGATCAAACTAAGTTTATGGGAAACAAAAATCAATTGGCACTCAACTTAGGTCTTTTGCGCATTTGAGTGTTTGCTGACACCATAGGGATTAAGAGTGTAGAATTGAAAGATAAGTTTTTCTTATAAAGCTTTGTGGCTTTCCAAACTGTCTAGATACAAGGAGAAGCTGCACACTGTTATATGCTGCTTAGAATAAATAGGGAGATTAAAGTGTCTTGGTACTGGTTCAGATGTACCTTAGTTGTTCCTTTCTGTGTCACAAAGGTGTTCTCAGAATCAGTCACCACAAAACTTTATTACAAAAATTTGTCTTTCAAATCCGCACTATTGATTCCCAATGTATGAATGAATGCTTTTCATTCAAATAATCCACTCTTGTTTTTCTTGTTACACTGTCCCTACCAATAGTGTAACTCCATTTTCTGCCTTTAAACACACACACAATCCACAATTCCTCTATTTGCTCTGATGAAGGGCTAGTGTTTGAAACGTCAGCTTTGAAACTCTTTAGGGTGGCCAATTTATGTTCTCAACTCAGTTTTTATACTCTCCTACTCACACAGCACTGCAGTTTCTTTAAAAAACTTTCCCCTTAATTCATTAGTAATAAATATTGTTTATTGTTAAATTTGCAAGTGTAAATAACCCACTGTGTACAGCACTACATAAAACCTTTGGGTAAGGATAACTGCGATGCTGTCATTCTTCAGTGACATGCTGTATGAATCATGCAAGTAGAAGACATCTGCAAAGCTTTGACCAACTGTTCAAACCAAGATGTCGCAGCTATAATTAGTACCAAAATACGCCACAGAATTTGCATCACATTTCCTGTTTGCTACGACATCAAGTTTCTAGGACGTACGAGCAAATTTGATTATCTTCCTTTGAATTTTTGTTTGAATTTCGAGAAAATCTGTTAACATGACTTGCCATGTTACAGAAGATGCGAATTTCGCCTGAGTTCTTAATTTCCAAATATGTTTACAACATGCGTAGTATTACAAACTTCATAGTTATGATACCACGGACAATAAATACTTAAACCACTTCACTCAGTAACCTGATAAAAGACTACAGACACCCGACCGGGTAAGAGGAGTAAGCAGCTTAAAATCAAACTATCAGGCACAGTCTTCAATTTGGCAGTCAACAAAAATACAACCGTGTTAAATAGCAGAATTCCGCTCGGTCTTAACACTCACCCTTGTTCTTCCATTACTTCTTGTAGCTCGATACACTTAAGCTCAATCTGTCGTTTCCTTTCGTGCTCCAAGATCTCTTGATTTGGTTTTTTCGTGTTCATTTGTTCCAATTTGGCAAGATCATCATTAGTGTGGTACTCGATTTTATCCTTCCTACTACGAAGAAGAGACAAGTTCCTTTGCACATAGCCGTTCGTGCCTGACCCACGGGCAGTCTGCAAACCGATGTTGTTGTACATTTTTCAAAATTTCAGCTGTTTTAGTAACACATTACAAGAAAAGTTAAAGAAATGATACAACATGGCAAACTTCACGATGTGCGTCAAATCCCACAATGCATCACCTGTCACCTGACAGCACTTGATAGACATGTGATCGATGTGATTTCTTTTATTTTTTTTTCCAGTATCCCCATGGCCCCAAAGCGTTAAAATTGAAAATTAATCACCGACACTGAAGTGAATAATTGTTTTGAAACATGCCACACTAAAACCAAAAAAAGTAATCTTTCTTTTTTCTGTTAATACACCAAAATGTGGTCGAAATTAAACTCTCCACGCGTCATTTTGTCTCTTCGCCTGCTCGGAGGAGAGTAGAACTTGCTAGTCACTTCCAAACTAGCCAATCAGCGCACACGAAAAGCCCACTTCACCTGTGTGGTATATGCTAATTACGGATATTTTAACTATGAAAATATGTATCGATACTGTACAGGAATTCCTTCACTGACCTAGAAATAATACTCGTCATGATAAACAAGTTATATTATTCAAAAGACCTGTGGTATGCTTAGTTTTAAATTGGTTTTCAAGGAGGCTCAGGGAGATCAGTGGCTCAAAACATCATTTTTCAAGGCATTACTTCTCTTTCCTTCGGAGTCCCGCAGGGTGTTTAAAGTTTGAATTTCAATCCAGTCAAATTTGAAATGATGCACGTCCGAGCTAGACGTTTCTGATCAAGGGACCTGATTTTACAGTGGCATAACCAAAATCCGCTAATTCCCACCCTCCCTCCCCCAGGCGATAAATAATGACCGATCCCTTAGAGATATAAAGCCCCTTTATGGTGTCATGTCTCTCCTACATTTTCTCTAGGATCAAACTCAGGCCAATGATTGGTGGATTCCAAGCGTCCAACTTTTCGCGCGCAAATAACCACACACATGCCTTGTTCCCAACGTCCTCTCTCTTTCTCCCTCTACAGAAGCTAAAGAAGAGAAATGCACTCGCGTGATCAAATTGAATATCATCTGTATCAGAGGACTCTGGGAACGATGTGACGTTTAAACATAGTGCAGTTGTGTCAACAAATGAAATATCACGTTTCCCACTCCCTTATAAGGGATGAAAACTGTAGGTCACTGATGATGTGTGAGTGAAATGCATATTTCTGCGATAACTGTGTCATTCAATGGCGGGCTAAAGAAGTATACTGTTGATTATTTAAAATTAATTTTTGTGAATGGAGCAAATTTGACTGAATCCTATGTTTGTTCGTTTCAGATATGTGAATATCGACTAGAGTTGAATCCCTTAAAGTTTACATAACCAAGCAATTTCCCAGCTTGAAAGAAAAACGCCTCAAATCTCTGGATTTCTAAATTATTCTCTAAAATTTACCGAAACGAAAGCTCTTTCTGATTCCTGTCGCATTAAATTTTACCGGAATAATTTTCTTTTTTCGATGTTTCCTGGCCTGATTTTGCAGTTCACTAACTGTCCTTATAGAGAGACAAACAATTTTTTTCTTTTCAATTTTTTTGATATCGAGAAATATGTTTAGTGTACATATTTCCGGGTTTTGACCACAGAATTGTCGGAAGGTGGGTGAAATTTCGATTTAAATTCGAGTTTAATGGTGTTTTTGTTTTTGTTTTTTTCGTGAAGTGCTAAGCTCTAAAGATGAAACCACGTTAGCTAAAACATTCTTTCGGGCCTTAAAAAGAATCTACGCGACGAAATTACACAAGCATTTGTTGTTCAGCCAATCATATCGTTGATATGTTTGAACAAAAAAAAAAGTATCGATCTAATTCCTAATCTATATCTTTTTAAAGTTGCAGAAAAAATTTCGAAGATTTCGGCAAAAATTTGGAAATAGCCTCGATGATGCGAAACGTGTCCGTTTAATTTCAACGATAGCGGCGGGTGTCACGAACGGTTAGGCGGAAAATTGACCGGAAAAAAAATATATAAAAATATGAAAAATATATGAGTAAATATATATAAAAATATAAAAAATTCATAAATATAAGAATTATTTTTGCTTTTCAAACTTGAGAATTTAATGGTTGCCATTAAACTTTATACGTAGTAGTCGTATGAGGATGCATATTTGGTGCTTTTATTGAAACCACTGTAACGCGTCGTAATATTCTTCAAGCAGGCTGATTGTAAGATTTTTTTGGACCTGGTAGGAGCCATTTACAGGTATATACCCAAGAGTCTCCATTACGTCCTTGCAGTAATGCTCTATGACAGAGATAATTGACGACTTTACTTTCCAACGCCATCTTTCGGCGCCCTCTTTGGAATCTTGCCGCCACCTTGCTGCAGACTGTTCGCTCTTCGTTTCAGGCGAATGAGACGCGAGGTACAGCCATCTTGTTAAGCTTTCGTCTTCTGGCAGCCCTGCAAATTCCAGCAATTTTGGTAGCATTTCCAAAGGGTTCACAGCTAAATCTTCGTATCGCAATAACATAAATCGTTTTTTCATTTGTGCCTGCAAGAATCGAATAATGTTCAGATTTTTGTACGTGGCACCACAAACCTCTTGGCTAAACCTCTGTGTTCCGTTCAATAGAACTTTGTCATTATCACCATAAAACCCGACAGCTTTCGAAGAAGGGATGATTCCTCGTGGATCTCGAACGAGAAAGATGAACTTACAGTCAAATTGATCCGTGTCACAAATTGTCAGCAACTGTTTTAGATTTGTATCAGGCATTCTCGATATCAAAACTTTCACCACGGTCACAATGTGTTGTGTCTGACAAGAGTCTTCCATAGTACCTTGGTCGAGTGGAGGACAACTTTCTAAACTCCATCGAGGATCTGTCGTGTTATAAATACAAAATGGCGGTTGAAGAAGTGTCAAGCTTTTGAACGGGTTGTAGTTTGACGGATACTCTTTGCGATAATACGACTGAAGATCGGCTACGTGCCTTGAGGACACAAAATTGCATTGGAAAATACCTTTAATCCAGTTGAAGGCTAAGTCATGATATTCTTGGCTGTTTTTTGGCTGGAAAGCAACCAGTCTTTCAACTGTTTGGTAAGGCTCAAACAGATAAAATACTGATGGATGATTGTTAAAAATGTTTCCCAAAAACGTGGACCCCGATCGACCATGTGCCACAATTATAAGATTTTGTCGCTTTTTCTTCGGTTGCGCGAGGACTGGGATTTTTTCACTTTTTTCTTCAAAGAACTTTGGAGTTTCGTCTAACTTTTCTGAGAGGACACTTTCTTCATCCTTTTTCACAACGCTTGGACGTTGATTTACGAGCAGAATATTAAAGACGAAAACGCCGATTGAAAGACAAATTGAGGCAACCAGTATTAAGCGGAAAGTACAGCAGTAAAGGCGCTTTAAACCCGATCTTCTCCAGAAGAGAAGCATGGCAGACTAAGCTTAACAGTGAATTATGTCGACAATAAACCGAAAGATTACATCGAAAATCAATAAATCTGTATTGAATGTATTTTTATTCATAACAATTGACTACATTTAAATCTGAATAATAGAATCGTATTTCGTAGATTTTCGTGGAAGATGTATGGAATCTATGGCAACCAAACCAGTCTAGAGGTCTGGGAGTAATGACATCTGGTGTTCCTGTTTTTTGCTTTCGCAATTCGTTTTTCCAAGAGAATATATTCTCTTGGTTTTGCAGCGATTTCCGAGATTTATCGTGAGAAAAAAAGATTCCCTGGACAATATCAGAGCTGGTTTAAGGAGTTTGTACCAAGAGTTTGATGTCAATTTAAAATTTGTACAAAATTCTAAAAATTGTACAAGAATGCAGACGTTTCTGTGAGTGAGGCACTAATCATTTATTTCCAAACCTGAAAAGCTGAGATTTCCTTAAATTCAAGATTACATGTGTTTGTGCCTGAAACAACATCCGTTCAATGGTTTTAAACTTTAAACACTCTGGCAAACTCTATCATACAATTGCTTTCTTCACTAATAAGATAAATACATATAAAAATAATTAACTAAATTTATAATAAAGTTCTGATATATAACGCGCGCTGTGATTGGTTGAAAGAGCGTGCTTTATAAGAGTTTATAAAATGTTCCGAGAAATGCGCGCGCTGTGATTGGTCAGAACAAGTTCATTATATTTCCATAAAGCACGCGCCTTACGTTACACGAGTGCACTGTTGATATATAATAAACGCAGCCTACGTCATCGGTACGAGCGCGCGCTCAGTGGAAGGCCACATCAGTCACTGCAGTCGAGTTTTACGGCGCTGCCATCCCAAGCAATCTTCATTTTCCAGTAACTACAGCTGTCGTTCAATGATAAGATACACACTTGAACAGTTTGATTTCTAATTGCCATGTGAAAAAAAAATGCGTGTTTTTATTAGCCAAAATTCGGCCGGATTTCACTGAATACGAGTCACTTTCAGATTCTGTATTAGAAACGAAAAAACTTCAGGCAAAAGTGTTAAATTCGACCTGCCGAACTATTAATTTTGTGAACTGTGTGAACTTTGATGGTTTGACATTTTTGACAACTTTAGTCTTGGACAGCCAATCAGATTATTTGCATAGGTAATCACATGATTTCGAGTGCAATTTGGAATTTGACAAGCACGAGTAAATATTTTTCAAAGATTAACAAAATTGCATATGCATGAGCCCAGAGGGCGGGTGCAATTTGAGATCTTTGAAAAAAAGTTACAAGTGCTTCTCTATTCCAAATTGCCAAAGAAAAATTATGTGATTACGTTTAATAATATACATGGAAAAAAGTACGAGATAGCTTATCATAATTATTCAGAAGCAAAGCGTGCAGATCAAGTGCAAAAATAATCTATTCAAACCCTACAAGTGACACTGCGCGTTCGGTCAAAACAACCGCGTACCATCAAAACAATTATATACAATGATATTTCACATCTTTAAGGCGCAAAAAAGGTCAAATTCCGGCTAAACAGTTCAAGGAATTGTTCGGTCTGGTTTGTTACTTCTTTGCACTGAATTAAACCTCTTCTACATTGAATTACCTGAAAACTGCATTTATCTTAACCAATCAGAACTGAGTAATTTTTTCATGTACCTTATTAGAACCATTATAACAGGGGATTCTGACTGGC